ATAATCACCCATGTTGTTATATACATTACCGATACTGTTATAAGAACCACCCAAATCAGGATGATTGGAAGGAAGTGATTGCTGTAGAATTGCAAGGTCTTTCTGGTAATAAGATAGTGCTTTTGGATAGTCACCTATGTTGTTATACACATTACCGATACTGTTATAAGAACCACCCAAATCAGGATGATTAGAAGGAAGTGATTGCTGTCGAATTCCAAGGGCTTTCTCGTAATAAGAAAGTGCTTTTGGATAATCACCCATGTTGCGATATACAATACCGATCCTGTTATAAGAATCTCCCAAATGAGGATGGTTGGAGGGAAGTAATTGTTGTCGAATTATAAGTGCTTTTTCATGAGATGAAAGTGCTTCTTGATATTCTCCTTGTTGAGATTTGATGCAACCTAGTTGGTAATACATGGGGGCCTTGTCACTTTCATTTGTTGTTTGATCAAGTAAAACATTATAAATTTCTTGAGCTTTTGTAAATTGACCCATTTTTATTAGTAATAATCCTAGTCTGTACCATCCTTCTTCATCTGGAAAGATCTCCTTCCGGATCTGATCGGTAAGAGTCCGAAGGTCTTGGTCATTGTCGCTGGTCAATGTTAGGTTCACTTGATAGAGGTGATTATTTCCATCCATTGATTTAATATCTTCAATGCGAAAAATAGTATGCATAGAGAAGAGAACTTCATCTTCAGTATGAAAATAACTAATATCTGCGATAGAAGCAAACGGAGTTGTTGAATGAGTAGGGGTAATGGACATAACAAATAGAATTCCAACATGATCAGGATTTGTAGTAGCTTGCGGTGCGAATAAGAGAGAAACATCACGATTTCTACTAGTTGATAAAAAGTTATTAAATGAAAGAAGTCCACCTTTAGTTTTTGTCATTTCAGTGAAATCTTCTTTTAAAAGACATTGCCCACGATAAACTGTAAATGTTATACCAGATTGTTGGCTATCAAATTGTTCCGAATGAAGTCGTTGAATATCACGATGAAGATCTTTAATAAAGAAACCCATTCGTACAATAATATCAGCATCCATTAATCTTAATGCACGATTGAGCATAGGATATAAAAAGCTTTGATAAGTATACCACCAAATAGGTATTTGATCATGATAATCACGTTCCAATCTTTCGATATTTTGTAAATCATACTCATTTTCGACAAATGCTTCACGACAATAAGTAATAAATTCTTTGAAATGTTTATCTTCGAAATTGATGGTTAAGAAGATCTCCTTCAAGATCTGAATGTACATAAAGGATGGATCTAATTGATCCAACTTTTTGTTTGATGCCACAAAGCTGATTGAGATGGCATTTTGCTCACACTGATGAGCAGTTTGTTTAAGAGCTTGACAGATTAATGTTATATCTGTGAAGACTCCTTTTATTTTAGGCCATTCTTTAGTCCATTGTTTATGCAAATCTTGATTGTTAGAAAAAATAAGAACTGTGTCTACTTGGGACATATCATGCACACGAGGTATAATATATTGCCCAAGTGAACCGGAAACAATCATACATATTTTGTTGTTTTCAATGGTTAGAATAAATTCAAAGCATTCTTCACGATCAGTAAACGTGTTTACGTTATTAACCACACGTTTCAATTGCTTGATTGTATTGCTACAATCAACATCATTATCATTGATATTGTTGTCCAACCAAATAAGGAGGACATTTTGCATTCTTTGCATGTTCATACGTCGATTCGCAACTGCAGTCATGGAAAGACCAGATGCTGCTTCAAATCTTTCTGTACCATCTAATTTGTTAGTTGCCATTGATTTTAAGAATTTGTTATTTCTAATATTAGTGTATTGTATTTGAGTAGCTTAAAAATATTTGCAGGTGAAAAAATCACGAAAGTGCCTCATTTAATAGTGTCTCCATTTTATATTTAGTTTGTTATTTTGATTTTTTTAATTGTCGGACAGCGCCTTTTACGTTAATAATTATATATTTTATTATGAAAAACAACTCATGTATGCACGAAATGCAAAATCAATGCTTTGAAACACGGATTGACAAAACAAAAACGCGTCGAGTCGCAATTAAAAATGTTTTCACGCTGCATGTAAATGTAGTTTGATATGAAATACATCGACACGCAATCAAAACAAACTTTTGAAATGCGTTTTGACGCACTGTTTCTATACAACGGGTTGAAGCATAATTAGCAAAAATGAATTGCCTCTCAGCGCGTGTCTGAAACATATTAAACGCATTAAATGCGTTTCATATTTGTACAATCATGTAATGGGTGTGGGTGTCAGTGTGGATGTCTTCTCATTCTATTCACAAGCCCACACCCTAGTTTCTTTTCTTTTGAAATATCTAGTATTTTCAGACAATTAAAATCGATCATAGGAGCATATGATACATTTTCCAAGTAACATATTAAAAGTAAGTTTTCTTACTGAAACGATTGAATACCTTATTGTAAAAAAGCGATGTTATGGCACATGCATATGACTAAAATCTAAGGAACGTTTATTAGCAAAAGAAAAGCACCAAAATAAAACTAATTATAACGAAAATAAACATAAAACGAAATGAAAAATAACATAAAAAAAATAAAAATATAATAAAAAAAATCAATCGTTCTTTTTCTTTGTTTTGATGTGCGCCAATATTCTCTCATATTATAAAAATATTCACACACAATACTTATTGATGACAAAATAAAAAAAACTGTTCTATCCAGGTCGAACAGTCCAACACAGAAACGGTCAGTTTTTTGACGGTTTCCCGCGAAAAGTCACGAAATACTGCGTCTGGAATCATTGTTCTGAGTATCCATCCAACTAAACCTGAAAACTTTTGCCCTCCAAAAGCGGTTGCCCAATACGGTTTTCCAAAGCCAGTAGCTGCGCTGACCATTGTAAACGTACTGAGCAACAGAAACACTGGAAATCTCTCGTCTGTTACTTTGGCTTTTAAAGTCTTTATTGTTGCCAAATCTTCAAAATGCAGGATCAAAACAAACGGTCCGATAAAACCAAAAGAAACCATCACTCCAACTTTAGATTTTACCACATATTTCCTGTAAAATCATACAAAAACATATCGACTAATTCGAAATACTTTATTTTATGCCAAATCAATAGAAAAAATATCATTCGAAAGAGCATGAAAACCTGAATATTGCCGTATAAATTTTACAGGGATATACTTGAGAGAATGAGAATGAAGGATAATAATCTTATTAGAAAACTGTTTTTTTTTAATTTATTTTTTGGAGATTTAGGAGTATATTCTTACGAAGTTTATATGATAATATTCAGGCTTTCGTGCTCTTTTGAACGTTATTTTTTTTTATTGGTCTGGCATAAAATAAAGTATTTCCTATCATTCGATTTGAAATATCTAGTAGTCTATGATAAATAGTTTTTATTTTTTTCGTATATCTTACTCGAAATTTGGATCTATGAGATCTTCATCTCTCACTATTGTAATTGCCACATCATTGGTAATTGTCGTTTCTCGAGAATTTTGATTGTTGGGTTGTTGAAAAGAAGGTCGTCGGCTCATTTTAAATAGCTGTACTGTTCGATTATTTTTACGATATGGTTAAATGAATCGTAGAACCCTAAGTTACTTATCTGATTGTTCTTTTTTCGTTCAATTTTAGACGGTAACGATTCAGTAATGGGATAGGAAAGCGAAAAGAATATCTCAATGTCTCTTTCCGTCTATAGCGATTTTGTCTAGGCATAATATATCCGTCGTCAGAAATGTCCATTAAACAAACGTGAAATAATTAAAAAAAGATAATAATGTTATTACAATTCCAAATAAAGATCATTATCAAATATTTAAGTGAGGAAAATTTTATATTGAAAAATTAAATGATTTGTTTTATTTAGATTTGATTACACATTCAATAAAAGAAACATCTAATGATCTTACTTATCATTATACAGCTGTACCATTAAGTACTAGAAGACTAAAAAGATCTTGTACAAGTATACGATAGAAAAGAAGAACGAGTTAAATCCCTTCAAAATATATTAAACATAATTCAACGTAAGTTAACTATTTATATGAATATTTCAAAATTAAAAAAATTCGTATAATTTAGATGGTATGATAATTCGAACATTTGGAATAACAACAACAGTAGCTTATTCTAATTCATCATGATCTCATGCTGTTCTACAAATTGTTTTAAAAAACGTTTATATTAATTTCTTTTCATTCAAATGTATCATCATAATAATCTAGCTGTATCTCGTCGTTTAATGAAAGAAGTTGGTAAAATGTCTTTATTTGACTTAGCTGGTTCAGAATGTGATAAAGACACAACAAGTAGTGACCGTCTTCAACGTATGGAAGGTTCAAAAATAAAATAAATCACTATTAGTATTAAAAGAATGTATTCGAGTGCTCGGTCGTGGTGATAGTTGTCATGTACCATTTCGTGGTTCAACATTAACGAAAGTATTACGTGATTTATTTAATGGTGATAAATCAAAAGTTTGTATGATTACGATGGTTTCACCAACATATTCTAATGTTTAAAATATACGATGAATACTTTACATTATGCTAATAGAGTTAAAGAATTACGATGTGGTAATACTATTGTCGTTATATCAAATGGTGATAAAGAATTGTCAAAAGGTTTGATTAAACAATATTTCTATGTGTAAATAAAGATTCGTTTCATTTTATTAAGATCTACCGATTGATGATGAACAAGATGAAGCATTAGCTTCTTATGCAACTAGAGGTGTAAGCCGATGAGTCGATCGGCGGCGGCGGCGTTTTAAAAAATTGCATTTTTTTCGTCTGTCGGCGGCTGGAAATTTATAAAAAGAACAAAAATTTGATTTGCACTCAGGCAGATGCCAGCGGCAGCGGCTTAAAAAAATCGAATTTTTTTCGCTTATGGGCGGCGGCTTAACCGATCGCTTTACACCTCTATATGCAGCACAAGTTGAGCATCTACAAGAATATGAAGATATTTTAGTAAATAAAGAACTAATATTAACTAAACAATTACACACAATTATTAAGCAAGCACAAGATACAACTGATTATGATCAAGAAAAATTTGTTAATGATGTGCGTACAAATTTATTACATCATCAACAAATATTAAACGATTCACAAACACATTTACAACAGCTACACAAAGAATTAAACACAAATATTAATTACAATAACAAAAAAAATCCATAAACTTTATATTTTTTCTTTTTTCTAACTTTTCATTATTTCGTGTGTCTATCTTAAAATATGAATGATGAATAATATATATATTTCAAAAAAAAAGAAATAATAGTTAACTTCTTTTTTATTGCTTTGTTTTAAGAATTTCTACAAATGAAACTATTTCGAATAATTTTCAAAAACTTTCAAATGAGTAGCAGAATGTATGAAAACGCGATTACCTTTAGAAAGCTCGTTCATTCGATTAAAATATTCATTTTGATTGCCAAGATGTTATTTATTATCATATCGTACTTTTACCTACATCTAGTCTGAAACTATCCGAATATATAAGACAAAATAAAAGTTCTGCATTCATTATATCTTCAATTCAAGCAAACAAATGAAATGTAACTTCAATAACACATAACTTACTGTTGAATGTGACATCTCTCATTCTGATATATGATTTGGAATTTAAACTAATCAATTTTTTACATTGTTTTATCTGTCTGTCTCCAATCATTAATACACAATACGATGTTGCTTATTGAGTATCGGTGGTCGTCTATTGTTGTTTTGTTTTCTTCTCTACAACTTCAGTGTCATTCATACATTTGGATGAGCGCTCAATAATTTAGACTGAATCTATTTATATAACTAATTTAAGCTTGTCTGTATTATTGTATCAAAATAAATCATCATATTCAACTTCATTATTGAATGTTAAATAATTAACTATTGTGCCACATAATAAATAGTGACGATTATTTGTAAATATTGAGAAATAATTAACAGTAAGTAGATCAATGATTTCTTATAATACTATATATTCTACTTACTATTCAAATCTTATCCTAATTGTCCTAAATAATCTAGTATAATCTATCTGTCTTTGTTCGCATTTATATATTGTTATTGAACTTTATGTCTTCGCTGTATTCACTCAGTATTGTTCATATTAAATTCTCTTAAACAATCTGTTTAAATCAATAGTTTGTTCAAAATCATTTTTTCATTCCATTGATGATGAGACTTTAGAGAAAAAGAAAGAGGATCTATCCTTTTTTTATCATAAAATGATAAGTACTATTTTAATCAGAAATGTGAAGACTCTTGCACATATATACAATAATGATTCGTATATGACCAGACAATTTTTTATTTTTTGTAGCTTATTCGCATCCAGTATTTTTACAATCCTTGTTTACTTTAGACACAACCCTCTGTGATATGTGTGTTGAACATGCTAGTTAATGTATAGAGTGTGTATGAAGTAAACAAATGTACTTTTTTCCTATTTTGTTACGAATACACTTATCAGATCTCAACTGATACACATACAAGATGGTGCAGAGATCCCCTGACAATTTTCTTCAATCTGAATAATTTTCGATAGAGAGAGCTAAAGGGTTCATCATATGAAAGAATTTCACTGCATAGTTCTGTCTATTATTCAAAAATATCAACTGCTTCTAAAATAGTCGTCCATTCATTTGCATTCAAAAGAATAGTGATAGCACTGTAAAGATGATGTATCATGACGACATTTTGAAATCATTTGATATTCTTCAATGGAGCATAACATTTATCTTTTTGACGTAGAACTTCTACATATTTCGTCTAGTGTTTTTTAATTTCATTGATACAATTAAGATAATAAATGAATGAAGATTTTTCTCTCTTGTCATATAAGCAATTGATAGTTTTAAATAATAGATAGAACTATGCAGTGAAACAGTTTCTTTCATAATGAAGAAAAACATCTATGAAATGATATAGAAGTTAGTAAATATTATGCGGCATGAATATTATATTGAAATTTAGTCTGAGTTATTTATATTTTGTTTGACTTGTGAAGAATTCTTTGAGCTCTATCTGATGACAATAACACAAATCAATAAGGATTGTATTGAGACAATTGCCATATCAAATAGACTAAAATAGCAAATGCATCACAACTCGTATATCAGAGTGGATAGAAGGTGTTGTCACTCTTTGACTTTTGTTGCAATATATCTGATATTCTATATAATGCTGACAATGGCGATAGGAAGAGGCAAAACTAGACGGAGGTAGTTTCTTTGGAAATCGAAAAAACAGAGAGAGTCCTAGTGTACGTTTTTGAAAGCAGACGATATTTCCTCTCTGTTTGCACTGCCGCTGATTATCTGATTTAATTTCATGCGATTAAACTAGAGACTTTTAATCATTAAGATAGTGCAAAAATCTAAATTAAGTCACTAAATATTATTATTTACATGCAACAAAATTATAATAATATATTTTTTCGAGACAGTTGATCTTCTCTGGATTCAATATATATCTAACTGTAATAGATTAAAGATTTCTTGTATCATCATAATATAAAAATGAAATAATAATGTCATGATCTTATTGATAATGTAAACAGTGTCAATTTTCACAAGATTGGTTCTAAAGATATTTCTGAGTAGATGAACACTTTTCAATAGAAATTTAGATAGCATTTGGTCGTCACTCTTATGACAATAACTGTATGTTAGAATTGTTTCTCATACTTTGAATTTATTTCAGATTTGTTCTAATATCGTCGTGATTCATTACTCTTTATACAAAATTATTTACAACAACATATTAAGATGCGAATACATTACGGTTTGGATATTAATCGTGAAATGCATACTGCTGGCTATGCTATGGTGTTATTCATGTTTCTTACTACGCAGCTCGACACTTTATATAATCTAAAGACATCTCATGAAGTAGTTTTCGAGTTGCGGATGCGGAATATGACATCAAATGAAACAAATTTATACTGCGATATACCTTATGATGATTGTCGTTGCTCTGTTGTATCAGTGAAATACTGCCTTACTGATGCGCGGCTCAAGTTCAGTCGCATCGTACCCATAGTTTTATTCGTATTACAGATTTGCCTTGCTCAAGAACTTTTTTCTTTAAGTGGAGATCACAAACATCTTCTTATTTGTGCTTTATGGATCACATCAATATTTGTTCTTATTGGTATTATAGCTCTGATTTATCGTAGTAGCTGTTGTCATGGGTATACACTTGGTATACTTTACCTTACGGGTTTTTTAGTAGTTGGTTTTTTCGGTTATGCTTTCCTCGCCGAAAACGAACGTCATTGGCCATCCGGTAGAAACAACTTCGGCATGGACAGTCAAAGATTTCAAATGACTGGTAGTGAAGCTCTGGTTTAATATGAGCTGCTTTAACCTATAGCTTTTTATGCTGTTAGTAAAATGTGCATTTTATTTCTATGTTGACTACAAATATTATTCTATTAAATATATCCCTTTTTTTATTTCTTTTTTCTTGTATTTGATGGATGATAATCTTCTTTTATTAATAAAATACCGAAATATTTCGGAGAAAATGAGCAGTTATAGAGTATATAGTTAGCGAATTTTCGTTAGAAGAACGAAATTCGGGGATAGGTTTATTCAGATAAAGAGTTTTTTCGAGTGTATCAATTTCGATGACTAGATTATATTTTTTATTTCAGAATTCTATGAAATTGCCAAAATCGTTTTTAATACCACCACATTGTCTTCCATTTATTTAAAGGATTATACTGTTAATTCAAGTTACTATACGTTTCGTTAATGTTTCCACGTTAAAATATTCACTTTAGTTGGTATGTCATTTATAAACTTGAGTAGAAATTAATGATTAATCTGTATATTCAAAAATGAAAAACGTGGGTTTTTAGTCATTTTCAATCAAATTAGTGCGGGTGTGGGTGTGAGCTTAGAGAAGAGACATCCACACCCACACTGTCAAAATTCTATGATCTTATTGATTTTGTAAACAGTGTCAATCTTCATAGTATTGACTCTGAAGATATTTTTGAGTAGATGAACTCTTTTAAATAGAAGTTTATATAGCATTGGCGTGACTCTTGTGACAATAACTGTATGTTAGAATGGTTTCTCACACTTTGAATATATTTCAGATTTGTTCTAATATCGTTCTGATTCATTACTCTTTATACAAAATTATTCACAACAACATATTAAGATGCGAATACACTTTGGTTTGGATATTAATCGTGAAATGCATGCTGCTGGCTATGCTATGGCATTAGTAATGTATATTATTTCGCACTACGATACTTTATATAATCTAAAGACATCTCATGAATCAGTTCTCAAGTTACGGATGCCAAATGTAACATCAAATGGAACAGATTTATATTGTGGCATACCTTATGATGATTGCCGTTGCTCTGTTGTATCAGTGAAATACTGCCTCACTGATACGCAGCTTAAGCTCAGTCGCATCGTACCCATAGTTTTATTCGTAGTACAGATTTATCTTGCTCATGAACTTTTTACGTTAAGTGGAGATCACAAACATCTTCTTATTTGTGCTTTATGGATTACTTCAATGTTTGTTCTCATTGGTATTATAGCTCTGATTTATCGTAGCAGCTGTTATCATGGGCATACACTTAGTATACTTGCTGGCACGGGTTATTTACTATTTACTTCTTTTGTTTTTGCTCTGAACTCTCACAAGTCAGCATCATCTGTCATTCAAAGCAACAACTTCATCACGAACGTTCAAAGATACCAAATGACTGATAGTGAAGCCCTGGTTTAATATGAGCTGCTTTAACCTATAGCTTTTTATAATGTTAATAAAATGTGTATTCTACCAAATAAATCCCTTTTTTGTTTCTTTTTTCATGTATTTGATGGATTGTAATCTTCTGGTATTAATAAAATACTACAAATATTTTGGAGAAAACGAGCAGTTATAGAGTATACAATTAGCAAATTTTCGTTAGAAGAATGGAATTCGGGAATAGGGTTTATTTAGATAAAGATTTTTTTCCAGTGTATAAAAGAATTTTACTTTTTGCTTAAAGAAATTTCATTTTTTGAGGATGTAGGTGTAGTTGTGTGTGCGGATATTATTCTTATCCATCCACACCCACACCCAAGAGCGAAAGGATTAAACGAATAAAACAAAACGTTAAAAATATTAATACTTTGATTGATAATGATTCTATAAGTTAGAAAAGATCAAAAATTGCTAAAGATTTATGCGACATAGATCTTATTATAAAGTACGAAGATTTTATATTTTGTTTTTGTGTTATAGGCTCTACTCTAATGAATTAAACATGATTAATCAAATAAGAAAAAGATATATTCAAATGCACTGAATAATATTGTTCATTAGTGCTTGTCTATGATAATTTTTACAAGTTTATGATTAGAATAACAATTAATGTTGACAAGCAGTTGTTACATAAACAGAACCGAAAAAAAATGAATTCTTGAATGAGGATTATCCTTAATACGACATTTCACATGATACTAACGATATTCAACATTCTTTTCAATGCTTTAATTATTATAAAAATACTATTAAACTTAATCCTAACAAACGTACTTGTTATAATAAATCTTTCATCACTTATGTACTCTATGAACTGTATTATTATTTGTGTATGATTGATTTATGTCACATCTCGCATATACAAAGCAATAATTCATTGATACTACTCAAAAGAATTTCATATTTTCTTTAAACCAAAACAAAGGATTTGTAGTATAATCGTAAATGAGAATATCTTGAAGATTAATATTATAGATTGTCACGAGACAAATGGTCAGATATTATTTTACTTTCTATTTTTATAGATCGTGCTCGAAATGCTACATATCTTCTTTATTCAACTTGTCAATTTAATCACATATGTTATTTAATAGAAAACATAGAGTAGGCAAAGCATTCTTTTGCACTTATCATCCAGAAAAACAAACAATCATGATGAATACAATAATAAACAAAAATACGAATGTTAACAAATCAAATGATCAACTTTTTTTAAAAACATTAACCAGTATGTGGACTCTAACGAATGTAACATTATCAATAATTATTTCAATATCTGTTATTATTTATGTAATTATTATCTATATTTCAAAGAAGAATTCGAAAAAATCATTTCATGTATCATTAGTTCTAACATGTAATACAAGTATAACTATAATTGGTTCATGTATATCACTTATTTTAATGACATTATCAAGTATTGGTGGTGATCGTAATATAACTTCATTAAAATCAATTATTTTTTGGGGTTGTCATATTCGTGGTTATCTTGCTATTGTTTTTGTTATTTCAATTTATTTATCTTATATATTACAAGCTGCTTATAGACTTTTTCGTATTGTATATCATAAATATAAATATCTTCGAACAATGTCAACTTTCATATATTATATATTAATTCAATGGATTTTATCATTTGTATTTGTATTACCAATCTTATTTTTAAATAAAAATTCATCATCATACATTATTTATTTATCAGAAGATTTTAATTGTGCAGTATCATTTACTAATATACGTGGTATTATATTTTTAACATTAGCTGTATATATTTTACCATTATGTTGTGTAAGTTTAATTTATTTTTGGATTATATATGATATACGACGTAAAAGAAAACAATCAACTGTTACATCAAAACTTCGCCGTCAAAATAAACGTGATAGAAGTGTTATCAAAAGAATTTGTACAGTTATGATTGTTTTATGGACATTAGGTGCTCCAATAAGTTTATTTTTAATTACATTTATTACTACTGGTTATTTACATTGGATAGCTTATCGTATATGTTCACTATTTATGTCTATATCTTTTCTATTTATTAGTTTATCATCACTTTATGTTACACCACAGATATATAAGAAAATACGAATTTTATTCGGTTGTGTTAAATATCATAAAAGACATCAGCGAGTAACTTATTCAATCAATATTAATATTGAAAGAGAAAGAAGAATTGAAAGTATTCTTCTTGAATATACTTCGTTCACTGATCCAATTATATTTAATTGAAATAAAAACAATTGTATATCATTTCAATTTATTCAAGCATACAATATAAACGTTGTCTTTTGTCAGTATTGATGTTGTATTTCGTTTTAAACTAGATAAAATCAAATAAATTGCTTAACTCAACATCATTGTATGAAATTGTTATTTTAAAGTAGAGAAAAATAATCTGGTTCTTTATTTACATTTCTTGTTTAACGTGCAATGTAAACTTGAAAGTTTTTTTGAAGAACAAAATTTTCACTTTAATGCACATGGCTATTGTGAAATTATTTTTAAATTATATATACGACGATGAATTCATGGACGAAAGAAGTGATTGATCCATCTCGAAAACGATTTCGATTTCGATACATTAAAATGATTATTATTATTTTCGTTGGTTTTATTTTTTACTGTACAGTTATATACACATTAATCAGATTCATCGTTGATCCTTATAAACCTGTTCGATCTGATTTAATAATATCAACAACAGCTAAGCTTTAAATAAATTTATTTATTTTCTTTAAATATCACAGTAAATCAATTGTTTCTTTTTAAAATAAGAAAAGTTACTGTTTTTCCTTGTCGTCCACCAAACATCATTGTTGGTGTATCAACCTCACGTTCTAATGAAAATTCTATAAATACAAAAAGAAATTTATTATATGAAAAAACAAATGATAATGAATATATACTCGGTTGGAAAAATTCTAATAATTCACTTCGTGTCCAATTACATGAAACAATAAATAAGAGATTTTTTATATGTCGATAAACAGTATCGATATAAGCATCACGTTTGGCTTTTCGTTGATCAGGTGCACATAGAAGAATAGCATCTAATGTTCCTTTATCAATTCCAATATCGTAATGATCAAGTAATGATGATGTATCTGATGAAGTCATATCAATCACTTGAAATTTTACATTTGATCCAATTTGCTTACGAGCTAAATCAATTGAATTTTCTGAATAATCAATTCCAGTTAAATGAGTATAGCCACGAGCTAATAAACGTTGAATAACATGACCATTGCCTATTTAAATATTTATTTTATATGCAAAAAAAAAGAAGACATGAATGTTTTTTTAACCTGTTCCAATATCTAAGATAGTTGTGTTTTCTTTATCAGTTACTAATTGACATACATTATCGACAAGTTTACTTAAAATACTTTTACCAAACCTAAAAAAATTTGGTAAGAAAAATTTTGATAAAATTTAATTTTATTATACCAAATTTCTCCTTCATCACCAAACTCATTGAAATTATTTAATTCACCTTCATATAATGTATCCCAACTAAACAAATATATTACAAAATTAATAACTATTTATCGTAGCACATGTTATTTCGTTCTTCGAGATCCCCAAAAATTACATATAAGTACATTACTCACTATTCTTTCGTTCCAATAACCGATTCATCGGCCTCGTCGTCACTTGACATTAAATAATTTTTAATCTTCAATAAAAAAAAACGAACAATAGAAACACAACTATATAGTACTAAAAAATTCATATATATTTCTAAACAATAAACATGTTTATTCCCATTTTTTATACCACGCTACACGATCTAATAAATCACGTTTTAAATAAATATGTTTAGGTATTTCTTCTTCGCGTCGTTTCAATGCCAATACTTTTTCTTCATGTTCTTTACGTATTGGATCATTTTCATAAAGATTGTCTTCTGCCTAGAAAGAAAATTTTTATTAATTAAAATAATTTTTTTTTATTTTTTATATCTTACTTCAGTAAGATATGGTCGACTAAGATGAGCCATATTTTCTAATTCAATTTCAATTCGTTGTTTCATATCCTGTTTTTCACCTTGAGTTAATGAACGTCGAACACGATGTTTCCTTTGAAAGATAATTATATACGATAAATTTCCTTTAAAAAATAATATCCTACCCAATCAATATATTTCCTGGAATACGTCGAGTTGGTATATAATTACTGAATCGAAATTGTGAAACTTGTTTAAGTAAAATAATTGATAGTTTCATCTTTAAAGATAAAATAAAAATTAATTTTTTTTCGTTCGTTTTTTATTTCAAATAGTGATTCTCGAGTGTGTGGGTTTTTTTTTCATTTCAAAATAAAAAAAATAAAATACAATTAATCGTTTTTCGATGTGACATCAATATTATCAGTCTGTTCTTTCTCTTGTCGATATCCAAATTGATGAAACGATCGTGATCGTCGATGATAATTTGTTGATAAAAATGTTTTTAAACTTTGATATTTTTGTCGTAATGTTGATGGAGGAGTTTTTTCACGTAATTTATCACGTAAAACACTTAATGTTGTTAATATATTTCCCAGAAAAAGAAGGAAGAATATGATCGCTAATACCATCACTTGCCATTCATGTGTTGTTGATACATGTGCTAACTGCCATAATGTATATGCATTATATAGTTGAAATAAATAACCAACAAGAAGAAATGGTACCAAAAATGATAAACCATCTAAAATCAATTCATTTTATGTTTAATAAATTACGATAGAAATTTTTTTGCAATACTTACGAAACATCCATCGATGAAAACCTTCAATAGTTATATCCATATCATGTGTTTCACCTAAAGCTCGTAATCGATAAAGACAACCACGTTGATAATAAAACTGAAGAACCTATTAAAAAAGCAATAGATTCGTGTAATTCGAAGAAAAAATTTATTTACTTGAACAAAACTTAAAAAAAATGAAAAGACAAAGAATTGTGTACGAAACGCATGATACGATTGAGATTCTGGCCACGTTAATAAAATAGCTGTAGCAACTGTTGCTATAAAATGATGAGCTCGCCACCAGGCTAAATCATAAAAAATAAATTTAAATATATATTAACAAAAAGTAAAATTGATGAAATTTTACGATTAATATTTGATCCATTGACAATTAAAATCGATTCTCGTATTGTCAATGTACAATAATACCAAACAAGTAAAAAATGAAATAATGCATCGAATGCTCGATAACGTGATGTTAACGACCATATGACAAGTGAAGATACTAATGATATACATGTAACAATAAATTTAAATTTTTCATATTCTTGTTTATATGTCCATCTATCTGCTTTATTTAATATTGAAACATCAACACCACCAAGTATTACTTTTAAATATGGATCTTTACGTGGTAATGTATCTGATACTCGTGATAAATATAATTCATTTGTATTAATTTGTTCAGATATGACATTAAGACGTTGAAGTGTAGTTAAGTTATTTACAATTTTATCCAATGATGGCGAAGAATTGATTGTGGGTAATGGATGTGTTGAATCTTGAGAAGAATTTTTTGGTTCAAGATTTGTTGTTGATTTTGAAGTTTTTACATTTAATACATTTGAATTATTCTTTTTTGTTGCTTCTTCTTAATATTAGAAAAAAGAATTTCTAATGCAAAACAATTTAAATATATATTACCTTTCTTAGCATATACTTTTTTCAATTGATTGACATCTTTTTTTAATTGATCAAGTTTTTTCTTATATTTATCAAATTCTAGACGATATTTCGTTTTTAATGATTCAACATCGTCTAATCTTCGCACATATTCTTTATGTTTAGGTTCGATTACACGTAATTGAGTATCGAATTCTAACCAATCGTCATATAATTGATTGAGTTCTTTATCATCAAATGTGTCAACGTTAGTTGTTGTTGTTGCTGGTGGTGATGATGATGATGGAAGTGGGTTATCAGTTGAATCGGAAGATAATAATCTTATTTGATTCTCTTCATCATCTTCGTCAGAATGAACAACATCAAAATGTCTTGTTGTTGGTCGATGATTTTTTTCATCGTCACTAATAAATACCGTATCACTTGTCATATTTTTTGTTCAATTTACATCTAAAAACTATGCATACAAAAATAGTTTGAATTTATTGATATGTAAATAAACAAAACATCCATTAGAGAAATTCCCTGGAGGAAAATGATCAAAGATATAATAAGAAAAGAGAATTTTCTATAGTATCCGACACATCTTTCTATAATCATGTTATCGTGTTTTTGTTCTTTTATTAATAAAAACATATATATGTCTTTAATGTCTAAATTTAGCTTTTTCTACTCGTTAATAGTGAACTATTTCTATAAATCGAAAATAAAAATCAAGACTTAAACATGTATATTCTTTTTATTCTTATAATAGATGTTTCAAAAATATATTTTTGATGTTATTAATAACAATAATAAAATTCTAATTTTTATTCAACCACTGGAGCAACTGTAGTACTTGCTTGTGATTGTTGTGTTTGATAATTACTCCAATTTGACTAAAATAAAATATTATATTTTTCAAAAAAGAAAATAAATTTTTGAGTATTTACATTTGTATCTCGTTTCTTTTCACTATTATGTGCTAACGTTTGTGTTCTATTGAATAGATTCTTTGTTTTTTCAATAACTGTTTGATATGGTGATAAAACTTGTGAACCCATAACAACAACGCCTTTTTGTGAATCAATTTTTGCATCTAAACTTGCATTACGAATTAAATTGACAATCCAACGTTCAGCTTCTTCAATACCCATATTTAATTTTTCTGCTAACATACTAATACACAAAAAAACGAATAATTATATTTAAAACAAAATTAAATTTTACTCAAGGGTGATACAATGATGAATACGACAAAATGTTTCGAATATAAGTAAACGAGCATTTTCCATAAATTCATCAGCACAACCAATGAGAAAAAAATCATTATTAAGTACAGCTGTACAATCACGTAATTTCTTTTGTGCTCCATCAAAATCAAAATGAACATAAAGACATTCAAGAAATTCAGTTATTGGATCACGAAATGCATATGATTCCTAAATGAAAATAAATATGAACAAAAAAAAGATTTCATTCTAAGAAATTTTCAAACCTGTTGAATAACTTTAACAAGTTCTTTTAATGTTCTTTCATTTTTTTTTCGTGGATTAATAATAACAGCTGCTGCTAAATAACGTAATAAATGTGGTGATGCTGTTTGTAATGTATTTAAATAAACATTTGTTTGATTAGCTCCTGATGTTGCTGAACCAAGAAATAATTGAACAAGATCATCACGTCCTCTTGGATGATTAAAATAAACAAATAATGACCAATGAATAAACCATGTACGTTGATGTAATAAATCTAATGGTGAGCGTGTACTATTTGTTTCAATTGCTTCTTTTAATTGATTTAAATCATCATATGCATCATCCCAACGTTGCATTAAAATTTCCGATGCCAATTTACCCCATAAACATGACATCATATTTTTATCACTACTTGGAACCTTAATATTGATTATTTAATAGAATAATAATGATAATTAAAACAAAATTGAATTAATACTTACAAGAGCACGATAGAGACCTAAATTAGTAGCTGCTCGAGAATAATCACCACAATCATAAACATAACGAGCGAAATTATAAAGAGCATCAACCATATTTCGTTCAATCTAAGAAAGATTATGATGATGGACAAATATCTCTTTATTCAATACTCACATCGAAATTCTTTTGTAAAAAGTTTAATGCAAGCATTGAATCACTATTTCTAAAATAAAATAATTTATAGAAAAAATCTAATACAAAAAAAACAAATTTACCGTTGATGTTCAATTAAACGTGCTGCATCTTCAGTAACAACAGCGTCAAGTAATGGTTGAACAGCTTGTGAGAGTTCAGTAAAACGAGATACAATTTCTTCACGTTTTTCAATTAATTCTATAAGAAAAAAAAATTGAATTTGATTATATTAAATAATTATTTGAATAAAATAAAAACCTTTTGGTTCCTCTCCTTCAGGATTAAGTTTATTGTGAATATCAAGTTGAAAATCAACCATAGTTGTATTTTGTAACAGTTCATATTTAGCACGAAGAATTTCCTTTTCATCAAAGATCTAAAAATAAAAATTAATTGATAGAAGAAACGTTCAATTGATCAATTTATATTACGTTTCGTTCAGTTAAAAACTCTAATAATGGAAAAACGAGATGACGATCGAAATATCGACCCAATTTTGCTGTTAAATCGTATTCAGCCATCTAAAAATTAAATAGACAAAATTAGATAAAGGATCTAGATGAATGCCAAATGGAAATGGATTATAGAAATATATATTTCTTTCATTAGTTCTTTTACGGAATATGATGAATGGTCAGATCTTTGATCCAATTAATTAAACGAACAAATGAATATTATAAAAGTAATAGAATACATGAATAAAAGAAAATTATTCGAATGTTTATTTATCAAAAATTAGAATTCAATAGGATATTTTTATTGTTTTATGTTCAATTTGTAGATTAGTTTTGAGCGACATCTACAATTGTAGAAATATTATAGCAAAATAAGACATTTCAACGAAATTGACAATTGTCTAATATAGTTTTATTAATTATCGATTCAAAATTTAATGCTAAAAGTTCTTATGCAACGATTAATTTATTGTAGACATTTAAATGCGTTTTTAAAAAAAAGTTGTAGTCAATCAAAATGTAACGAGAAGTTTATTGTTTTTAGGATTTAAGTATTTATCAAACTGGATTTATTAACTATATCAATATTTCAGTAAATATGTATATATACATCGAATTTTACGAATATTGTAGCATATCAATACTGGAGGTAAGTATACATATATAGCGAAATATCGTCTCAAATTTATTAAAATATCTAGAAAAAGTAAACGATTTGAACTATGCTATTATTTGCTCTTCATCATCAGTCTTTTTTTTTGTTTGTTATCGTTATTCTTATTGAGAAAGCAATGTCATATATAGAGTAATTACTATACTGCTTCTTCTTCTTTAGATACACGTATCATTCATAGTTCTTCCTAATCGACTAAATATTTAGTTAACTGAGACTGATATTCACATCAATTTCCGTCGTTCATTTGATAGATTAAGTAGTTTGAAATAGTGTAAACTAATTCTAAGTATAGATGTTGATGATTTCCGTATAATTACAAGGTCATCGTTTAATATCCGTTAGAATCTCAATTACACAACAGGACTCTTTATTCTAAATGTCTTTTATGAATGACAATAAGAATGAATAACGCTGAATTTTGATCATTTGCCATCTGGGAATAAAGAGTACGATTTGATAAGTAGATACTTCAAATGTTTTATTTGAAGTACTCAAATTATGTTTCTTCGATCTTATCTATCCGCTAATGTAACAATCATCAAGTATTCAGAATTTTAGACGATACTATTAATCATTTCATCTTGTCTTATATTGTAATCGATTGTGTGAAATGTTAAGGTAAAGCCGAAAAAAAATCTAATTTCTCATATATAATATATTCGAAATACTATTATCAAGAAAAATCTTGAATAAAAAGAAAAACATCTCGTGATTGAATAACCTTCAATCATATGATACAATCTTTTTTTCTTTCTTTAGTATAATTAATAAAAATCGATTAAGCGATTATTTAATATCGAAAATTATTTTTATTTTTAAATAAAATATCCATAAAAATTTGTCAATACAGTACTTATTATGTAATATTCCATTATTGAAAAATATTTTATATAAACATGATGCCTCATAAATTATTTCTTTCCCCAATTATTGTAATTCAAGCTTTTGTTTTATTCAGTTCCACTAATGGATAGATATTACATTTCTCAACATCAGTTCAAAATTGTTGATCATCACTCATAAATCAATTTGAATTTTTATAAAATATTTATTTATCCTCCAAGGTCATAAAAAATATATTTCTTTTTTTTGATTTTATTAATAGTCGATTCATAGGCAACAGCTTTATTATTCAATAGATTGTATTGATTGTGAGTATAGCACGTCTCTGGAACTATAATTTTTATTTATTTTATTATCTTAATTTTTGTATCAAATTATATAATCATATCTTTCAAAGCAATTTGATTTTCATAAAAATAGATTATCTAAAGTAGTCCAATAACTCAATTAGTTATAAAATATAATATAAATAGTCTATGACCTTTTGACGGAAGTTCAATAGATCATTGAAATAAGAAATATTGACAATTGATGATGAGGTTAGCCTATTTTTTTTTGTTTTATTGTCACTAATGAAATGACAAATCATGCCTTTTATTTATTCAAGAATATGTAATAATAATTCATCATTAGTATCGATTAATTATTATTCCAAACACGTCCATTCTCTATTTCATATCTATTTCCATTACATCAATGATCCTTGCTGCTTCTTCTTCTTCTTCTTTTTTTATATATCTGAAATCTAAATGAGAATGACGAATGTAATGTTTAAAACTGTGTGATTGATATACAAGCTGTATTATTTGCATGAATAGAAAGAGAGAGAGAGAGGTCTTTTCTTTTCTACAAATTATTCTTGCCTTGATTTATTTTGTAATTATTAATAACTAAAAAGATTGCCACTTGCGTGCTATTGAACTACAATACAATTTCATATTATAACTTCCTTGGTTTACTTATGTGCCCGACAGTACTATTATATTTTATATATATGCTTATGCGAGATTGGTTACTGTTGTGTCTTACTTATTATTGAAAAAAAACGGAGAAATAATTTATCAGAAGGTCCTATCCACACCCTAAAGAGCTCTTATTCTTCTTCTATCTTTATGTTCTCTTTTGATTTCTATGTACATGTACATCATGTCGAAATATCATCAAAAAATGCAACTACTATAAATTAGACTCGTTTGATTAGTGTGTGCGTGCGTTACAGACAAGAGAAGTTGAGTCGTACGTCACTTTCTCTTTCTTCTCTTTCTCTTTTTCTCCATTATATTGACACTGGTAAAAGAGAGTCAAAAAAAGAAGACGACGAAGAAAGAGAAAACGTATTTCCGGGTAGACGCGATCGTCTTCTTTTTTTTTTTACCCACATACTACTCATCATCGTCATCACCATTGCGACTAGATGCCGAAGGGAAATGCTTTGTTTAGTTTTTAAAAAAAAAGAAAGAGAAATAGACAGAGATAGAAAGAAAAGAAATATAAAAATTAGTTATTTCGATAAGAGCATTCTATCTTAACTCAAACAACTATCATTTAGAAAAATGTTTACAGTTCCTGAAGTTGATGATGACATTGAAGTTTCGTCTTCATCGGATGTTACCGCAAAACCACTAACACCAACAGAACCACCAACAGAACCACCAATAGAATCACCATCTACACCATCCGAGCTCGTTTCGTCAACAGAAAAAGAAGAAGAACATGTTTCAATTGAAATACAAGTTCTACCTGCAACAACAGAAAAAGATTCAACAGCAACAACATCACAAGCACCTAAACAACATGTTTCTCGTTTAACTCATTTTCATCGAAGTACAACTAATGGAAACGATCAAAATAATGATCGTGTGTAAGTCCTATTTTCTTTTTTCTTCTTCTTTTTTTTCATTTTTTTTTTGCCTACAAGAATAATTATGATGTTTAACCTGATGACACGTATCTACATGCATCATTACACACGTAAACAGACATAGACTCAATAGAAATTATTTGTAATTATAAACTTAGACATTACTGATGATCGTTTATGTTTTTTCATGCGAGAATAAATTAGTCCGTTAGTAAGAATCATTTCATTGTCCTGGGAATATGGGTTAAATGTCATGAATCGTAATAAGACGACAGAACTTTTCTTTTACTAACTGTCACACAAATATAATGAACCAGTTTGTCATTTATATAGTTCATGTCTGTTATTCTCATTTATAAACTGTAAAGGTAAATGTGTCAAGAAATAACTAAACTACTGTTCCATTTATATGATAGCCAGATTGTTTAGATGTCTCAATTTCTCTTCATTTATTAATATATGACGTTTAGAAACAGTTGTTCGTTATTCTGTGACATTCAATAAAAATTGTATACTAATGAGAATAAGTGATTTTATTTAGAAATAGAGTTAAAACAGGTATCTTTTCATTGGCATTTATATCGAAATACAGTGATTAGTTGTTATATATATATCTATCTATGTGTTAATCTTGTTCATTATACCATATGTTTCTAACCGAAGTATTTAGCCTAAAGACGATTTTCTTTAAAGGGAATATATATAAGCATATTATAACACTGCAATGAGCGACAAGCAAAAATGATTCAGGGCAAACAGATAGAATGTATAAGAGCTATCTTCATGGAATGTAATATACAGACAGACAGATTGTATTAATATTTTACATTTATATATATAATCGTCCGATTTTATATGTAATACAGAATAGTTTTCATACCAACTAGTTTAGTGGTTTGTCTTATAAAAGAAAAAAAAATAATAATCAATTGTATCTTTTTTTGATATCCTTATATGTTATATTTTGTAATTTATTGACAGGTAAGAGAAATAGAAATGTTAATGTATGTATAATATGTAATTATTCCATATGTGTTTATTTGAAAATCATAGATATGCCTATAAGCTCACATCTGCGATGATTATAGCACTCTCAATGATCAATTTTTCTATCATCATTGCACAAAGAAGAGAATAATATAACAAATTATACTGACACATATTGAATTACATAGAAAGAAAAAGAAAAAAAAAGAGAAATGAATATTATATGATTGACAATGAAAATTGAACTTATATTAACATCTTTCAATGAGTTCGATATCAAGGAGATATACATCTACTACTATATCATAAAAAAAAATATCTTTATTGTACATTTTTGAAAATTCATTAAGGATTATTTAATATTAATAGATTCTAAATAATAAATTCTATAGCATTTCATAGAAAGAAATAATGTTTAACAGATTTTTCAGAATAAGTTATTTATCTATGCATACAACCTTGATGATCGTCATAATTCACAAGTCGACAGCGTTATACATATCTTTATATGTATACATATAACCTTGGCATTCCATCAGACACTAAGATGATAGACATGAGAAAAAGGACATCACACTATTACTCTAATTACAATTCGCTATCAATGTATCATACAGTCGCTTTTTTTATGATGTGCCATTTTGACTTTACCTTGTATATCACAACAGTTAGCATTTTTTGTTTGAATTCTTTCGAATCATTAGTTAATAATGCTGATTATTAGTCGATTAATGATATAAATTTTTTATTTTTCAATGAATACGATCATCCAGATTTTTTCTTTCATATTTTTCATCGACGATATTACTACTATTGTTTTCATTAGTGATTAAAACAAAGAAAAAAAGAAGAGAGATAAGAAACAGTAGGTTCCCATGATTGAGACACACTGTTTTTTTTGTCTTGTTTATGAGTATTAACAAGAAAAATGAAGAAAAACCCAAGGCCTATCAACAGTTGTTTGATTAATATACAATAAAAAAAAATGTCTAGAGAATATAAACAAATAGGTAACATTATAGACAACAAATTCCTGTTGAGAGAAATCTTGTCAATGTGTTGACTGAATAATTAAACTTGTATATATCTCAATTCATATCAAACTGATTGAATGATACCTTGGCAAAGGTTATTCTCATTTGAGTAGGCAGATTAAACTAACATAATTCTCAACAGTGGTACTCAGTATGTCTTTTGAGTTAGAGAAGGAAAGGACATGAATAATGATCATAAATATGTTCTTATCTTTTATTTGATGCTTCAGCATCATCCTACATATGAAAAGAAAAAAAAATAGACATGTAATTTTAATTTCTTTTTTTTTTTGTTCTCTTTCTCTTTCGTATTCTTACTATAATACATATTTACATGATCATACAAAAATCTAAAACAAAGCTTTGTAAGAAAAACGTAGGCTAAGAGAGCATGAAATATAGTCTGTATATAATATTTGAATCAGTAGAGAAAGGAGAGAGAGAGAGAGAAAAAAAAAGAGGAGGAGAAGAAGAAAAAAAGTCGTTGATACTTGCCTTTACCACATTAATATATTTATTTGTGCAATCCATACCACATACGAATCATGCCAGCATCATCGAAAACTACGATAAAAGGAGGAATAACAAAAACCAAAGAACAATCACCTAAAAAGAAGAAAATAAACAATAATAAACAAATTAATTCCGCAAATCTTAAAAATTCTTCTGCTTCATCTTCTAGTACATCGCAACAACAACAACATCATCATTCAGCTCCACCAACACATAATCAACAATCTAAAATAAGTTTAGATGCTATAAATGAAAATGGAGAATATTTATTAACAAATGGACAACATCAACAACAACAGCAGCAGCAACAACAGCAACAACAACAAAATCCATTAAATGCTCGTTTTCCTCGTTCAAGTACAGTTCCATATCCAGCTTATGCAACAGTAAGAAGAACTACAGGAAATTATAATCCACCACCGTATTATTATTATACTGATAATCCAACACTTATTCATGGAGCTGTTTCACCAGCATATTTAAATACTCGACAACCATTTTCAATAATTAATACTAATTTTCAACCAATTTCACCACATCATCAACAATACAGTACACGACCTGTTGATATTCTTAAACCAACATTTTTAATTGTACCTAAAGCAACTGAACAACGATTAATTGCTCAATTATCAGCATCAAATTCACCAATATTAACTACGAATAATAAAACAAAATCAACAACAAAAATATCACAAAAATCAGTTGAACAATCACCACCACCAACTATTCGTAATGCTGAAATACAAACAAATAATAATTCACCAACAAAACCAATAATGGATGTTGGACATCAACATATTGGTCTTCTTGCTACACCAAATCCATCACCATATGTTCATTTTGCAAGTATACCTCGTCCAGCACAATCATCAGAATTATCACAAGATGGTCCACCAGAAACAACAATCATGCACGAAGAACTCAATCATATGAATGATTACAATCAACCATCGCATAGTATTCGATCAATGCCAAATATAGCACTAGCACCAGGTAAGAAGAAAAAAAAGACATTTGTTTGAACATCAATAAACTATATAAAAAAATCTCCACCCATTGATGTCTTATTTTCTTTTATTCGATTATCCTCATCAATATTGCATCATAGACAAGGTTCCTCATCCATTCGTCAATCATTAGCCGTATGGTTATATATGTATATCCTGTTACTTTTTTTTTCTTCTGACAGTCTTCCTATAAACATTCTTCTTTCTTTTATGACCTAATCATTAGTAAAGAATCTTTTTTCTTTCCCCGTTCTTTTTACAGTCTCGCCTCATCACTTATATGGTTCACCGTCTTTACGTCATTACCATCTCACACAACAACCAACTGATGAACAACAAATATTAAGTAGTACTGAATCAACGGGTATTCGATCCGCAACAGTACCTCAAATGTCTCGAACAACAGATGGACGAACTCGTATTGAAGTTGGCGAAACCGATGAATCAAGTTTAGCATCATTTGATTTAGCACATACGGATATGATTGATATGCCAGGTTCATGGAGATATCAATCTGTTCCTATACGAACAGTCGCACGACGATATCGTGCACCTTTACCACAAGCATTTTATGATTCACAACAATATGTTAGTGATTCGGAACAAGTTATTCATTCATCAAGTTATCGTCAACCACAATTATTTGGTTCAATACCAACAATTAATCGGTAAATTAATTTGTTTCTAATTAAATATATATACTTAATTTTAAATTAGACCATTTGATTCAATGCGAAGTCTACAACCAATACAAATGGCTCCATCAATTCGTTTAAGTGATAAAGATATATTAAAAATTGCAGCATTCTATAAAAGTATGGGTACACTTGTTTATGTTGCTCAAAGTATAGCAACATTATATACATCTGATTTTGATTCTATGGCTAATTTAAAAGATTGGAAAAAACTTTATACAGGTGTACCAATTTGGTTATTTAATACTGGCATGAATCCAAAGCGGTATATTTAAATAGAAAAAAAGATAAATAATTTACAATAGAATACTTTTCTTTTCTTATTTTAGAGCTCGTTGTATACGTTTAGTACTTTCTGAACTTGGTTCAAGTTTCACACTCTGGGATACAATTGTAAATGGTGCATCGGATGTACGTCTACCAAAATCACGTCATATTACATTAAAATCTTTAGAAACAGGTGCAATACTTGCATTAAAATTTGATGATACAAATGCAACAGATGAATTTCATCAATATTTTGTTAAATTATCATGTGATCCACGTAATGCAGATTTATTTGATATATTTAATACGAAACGACGTCGTCCTGTTTTTATTCTACGTAAAAAGAAAATAAAAAAATCTGCTATATCAAAACCATCACATTTCAATCATATAACGAAAGTTGATGAACATGATAGAGAATCATTATATACATTTTCGGTGCTTGTTGATGATGGAGTTACAATGAATTAAAGAAGAAAAAAAAAGAGAAACTGTTCAGTTCTTTTTATTACAGTATTTATATACATATATATTTGTATGTGTGTGTGTGTGTTCTGCTTTTATACTTGTATTGTAATGTTTATCGTTCTGTTTAATATCAGTGGGGCTTTTTTTTTATAATATAATTCATAAGTAAATATTTATCGAAAAAATAACGAAGGAAATTATTATGTTGAAGTGTTTGATAGAAAATAAGATTATATGAATAAAATTCTATAGAGAAAAATATAAAAGAATTATCCGAGTTAATTTGAATAAGTAATAATTCTATTTTGCAGCCAATTGAGAATTGAATTATAATAACAAAAGAAAAATAATATAAAGTGACAGATAGAATAAAACAGAAAGAAAGAAAACGGAAAGAATCAATATTTCCTTTAATTGAGAAGTTTTTATTGTAAATTAGTGACACATATTTCCAATAGTGTTATATAAGCGTCAATTGAACTAAATGCTTCAATGATACTTCAAATAAAAATATAAATACAATCAAACAAAGAAATATCAATTCTATTGTGTTATATATTTTTTAACTTATTGAAAAACAATGATATTTCGTATTTTGTTTTTTTTCCTTATATATATTTGCATATTGATTATGTCTCGTATTCGGATCATTGCTTCAAAATGATATCAATGAATTAACGTAAAAAATAAAGTTTCTATTTGAATATAGCTCTATCATAGCACCTTTTCAATTCAACACTACGCTAGAGTTCGATTAGAAAATATCAAATGCTAAATCTATAGTTTTAATATAAAATTCTCTTTTCTCATATATATATATATTTGATTATTAATTAGGTATCATCTGATCCAAAAAAAAAGAAGTAAATCCTATTCAATGAACGAAGGAGAGCTTTATTGTGAATATGACCTCGGATATCCTGCTTCGTTAAAAAAAATACACAGGATTAATTTTGATTACTCATTAATTATGCATTGAAAGAACTTTATCAAACAATGCTTCTTTGTCATTTGGGTTAAAAAGAATTCATTCGTTTTCTTATTCGACTATTACATAGATAAGAATACATTTTTGCTGCATAATATGTTGTTTTAAGTATTCATATTATCTTATGTGAGAAAATAATTGCATTTCATAGCATTGCATACTAGATAAGGCGTCTATAAATAAATTCTCGAAAACGATTTTGAAATGTTTGAGTAATTCGTATATATTGAAGAATGCAAAAGCTTAATCATATATCCTAAATCGCTCAATTGTTTGCCTTTCTTCAGGTTAAAAAACTGATACCTATTTTTTAGAATAGTTTAATAGATGAATTCTATGTGATCGTTTCTTTTTGTTATTAGAATATATATATGTATTAAAATAATTCAAATTAAATAGTTCTCTACGAATTCTTCGTACTAAAAATTAAAAAATGAATATTATATTTCGAATAATCTACTGAAGAAAAAAGAAAATGATATATGTATATATATATTAAACTAGATTTTAGTAGATCGTTCTCTACTACTACTTCGTTCATTGTTTATAGTAGGAGTAAGTGTTTGATAGTCATTCGAATTTAAATTTAATTTTTGTTGCATATCAACTATTTGTTGTTTCATATCACGTATCTAAAAAAGACAACAAAAACAATAAGAAAATGTTGTATTGAAATTTCTTTGTATACTTGATCATCTTTCTGTTGAATTAATTTATATTTAACTTCAATATTTTCATATGGATCATCTCTATATAAATATTCGAAAATTATTTTAAAGAAAAAATCTAATTAAATTTACTCATAAATATCACTGTAATTTTTTCTTCCAAATAATTGTTGAGCACGATAACTTTCATAATGAACATCACTTGTAACATCTTTTAAATCTTGAAGATGTGTTCTTAAATTAAAATTTTTATATATGAAGAGAAAAAGAAACACTCAATTTTTACTTGCATAACATTTCACGTAGATGAGCTAAATCACTATATTTTGAATCTTCAACATCAACTATACCCCATGGATAAGCTCGACCACGAACTTTACGTCCATTTGATTCAAGTGTTATATTACTACCCATAATAGCAAATGGAATTGATTCCTAACATTTTGTTGTTGATAAAAAATTTAAAAAAATATTATATAAAAATTATTACTCTTAATGTTTTATCAAGTGATTGAGAATCTTCATCTTGTTCCGAATCTCCTTCAGGAAAATCATATAATTGCACACCATGTTTATCAATATCACTCAATAATTGTTTTTTCAATGCTGTTAATTCACTTTTAAGTAATGTATCAGCTTTAGCAATAACAGGTATAACATTAACTTTATGTTGAAGATGATGTAGAAAATCTCGATCAATAGGTCGAAGACTTTTTATTTTCAAAAAAATAAAGAAATTATTGAGTATATATATACATATGTATTAATTTTACCCACGAATACTTGGTGGTAGAAAATATAGACAACAATGAACACGTTGATCTTGAACATATTTACGTTCAATACCAAAACTTGTTTCCGCTTGATAATATTTAAGAAATTGTTGATCAATAAAATCGAGTATTGGTTTCCAACTTAAAAAATATTCAAAAGAAAAAGATAATAAGAAAATAAAAAATAAATCAAACCATTCAGTAGAATTCATTCCATCACCAAAACCTGGTGTATCAACAACAGTTAAACGTAATTTAACACCTTTTTCTTCTAATTCAACTGTACGAGTTTCGATTTCAACTGTTTTCGGTGGATGAACTAAAAATTGAAAAAATTTTCTTTTGTTTTTTTTATCTCTTTAAATTTATTTTACGTCGAGCTGTTGGTGGTCGATCAGCATAAAGTTCTGTCATGAATAAAGTATTAATAAATGTTGATTTACCAAGACCATGTTCACCTTTTATCAATCAATATTATTTATATTTAAAGAATAAAATATTTCAATACATACCAACAACCATAAGTGTAAATTCAAAACCTCGTTTAAGTGTTTTTCGATGTATTTGATCAGGTAATGTCGAAAATCCAATTGTTTCCTGGAATGTTAATGGTTTTGGTGATAATAATGACTCAATTGATGCTCTACTAAGACGTGCGTATGGTGCATCGCGTGTAGCTGTACTAGTAGTACTCGTTTGTTTTCTCAATATATTTGCAAAAGGATTAGAAGTTATACTAGTCGAAGGTGTTGATATGGAAGAAAAACTCATTTTTTTTGTTAATGTGTATGTATGAAAAGATTTATCTCTTTTTTGAATGTTGATTTGTGGAAATGTCGAGGCCTTAATAACCTTCACCACACTTTAGTGATAAGGCAAATATAAAAAAAAAAGGAGAAGAGGAAAAGAATTAAAATACGCACATTACATGTTGATTTGAATTCGATACTTTTTCGTCGACGACCATTACTATTATTTGTTGTTTTACATTCAGTAGAATTTGTTGTCATGTTTTGTATATGAAAATTAAATATTGTACTGATTTTTATTTAAGAAATAATATCAATATGAATAAGAAAAAGAACGAATGTTGTTCAAATGATTATATCATTTGTTGAACCAACTGTTGTATAGAGTAATACAATTCGAACAGGAGAAATAAAAAAAAAGGTGTTAGGTAGTAAGAACATACGTGTATAGTAGGGATTTTATTACCACATCATCTTCGAAAGGTTAATGTTGAATACAATTATGAGAGTAAAAGAAAATATTACCAATCATATCGATCGATATACAAAGCAACAAAATACTCGAACAATATATATATATATGAGAGCAATTAATTTATTCTCTCATAGAGATATTATACAGTGTAAAGAATTAATCCATTAATCTTTTATTATATAAGAAAAACTATTTCTAATCTTTGTTATTATATGTTGAATATTTGAATTGAAAAAGATTTTTAACAGGTAATTTGTTTGAGTATTATAGTATGTTTCTTTGTAAGAATTATTCAATAGAATAGTTTGTAATTGATATGGTCTTTCAATCTCTACGTATTCTTATCTACATTGACCTATTATTATTGCAATATGAAGTACAACATTTATATACTTCACCAAGAGTATTTCTCTTTTTTTTTAATGTAAATGACATAGATTACTCTCACTCACGCCCTCAAATTCATTCTTTACTTGACACACATGACAGACACTTGCAAAACAAAAAGCAATATGATTTTCATTGACAATAGTATGTTAGAATAATAGAAAGATGATTGTACTTTGTTCTTGAGTGCATCAAAAATTTATATGATAAATTTTATTCCTATAAGATTCATTGACGTTACTAAATCTTTTCCGGCTGCCTACTCAAAAAATGCCGTACTCCCCTACGGTAAAATGTTGCCCTTTGGCAACACTCGATCGGAAACGTTTAAGCTTATTTTAAAATCTAAACGAATGAAAAATTCTTAACAAGACACTCCTTTAGAACATTGAATTTCTAATAAAAGAAATATTACATAGAATATACAGAATTTATTAACAATGATTAGATTTCATTTTCAATATTATGTCATTACTTCTTAAATCAATACCTTCAGAATCGTATATTTCTCAGTTCACAAAAATATAGAAGTACCTTGGTAGATAAACAGTCTTAATTGTGACTCTTCAATTTATGTTCTTAATCTGTTTCTGATACGAGAAAAAAAAGCGCTTGTAGTTTTAAATTATAACTAACACCTCTATTTTATATATTACTATACACACATTCATTATTTTAATCAAGAGGGAAACAGCTAATTTAAATCCGACAAAAATCAAACTTAAATCATTTTTCTTTGCTTTTTCCGCCTTGAGTAATGTGCTTCTTGAAGCATTTCAAATATTTAACAACTGAATTAATAATATTAAAAATTATATAAGCTGCTTATGGTAATATTCGATTTTTACATAGATTGTTAATTTATTCAAAAATCGAGATTTTCATTTTTGTTTGAAAAATTCATTATATTATGTCAATATCTAAAATGATTATCATCATTTGATCACCAATGAATAATTGAACAGAAACAAATATATTGATAAATGTGACATCTCTCATTCTGATATATGATTTGGGATTTAAACTAATCAATTCTCTACATTGTTTTATCTCTGTCTGCAAGCATTAATATACAATACAATGTTGCTTATTGAGTATCTGTGGGCGTCCATTGTTGTTTTGTTTTCTTCCCTATAACATCAGTGTCATTCATATATTTGGATGAGCACTCAATAATTTAGACTACATCTATTCATATAACTAGTTTAAGCTTGTCCATATTATTGTATCAAAATAAATCATCATATTCAACTTCAATATTGAATGTTAAATAATTAACTATTGTGCCACATAATAAATATTGACGATTGTTTGTAAATATTGAGAGATAATTAATAGTAAGTAGATCAATGATTTCTGATAATATTGTATATTCCACTTGTTCTAAATAATCCGGTATAATCTATTTATCTTTGTTTACATTTATACATTGTTATTGAACTTAATGTCTTTGCTGCATCTGCAATAAGTATTATTCATAGTAAATTCTCTTAAACAATCTGTTTAAATCAATAGTTTGTTCGAAATCATTTTTTTATTCCATTGATGATGAGACTTTTGAAAGAAAGAAAGAGGATTTACCCTTTTTTATCATAAAATGATAAGTACTATTTTAATCAGAAATGTGAAGACTATTGCACATATATACAATAAAGATTCGTATATGACCAGACAATTTTTTATTTTTTGTAACTTACTCGCATCCAGTATTTTTACAATCCTTGCTCACTTTAGACACAACCCTCTGTGATATGTGTGTTGAATACGCTAGTTAATGTATAAAGTGTGTATGAAGTAAATAAATGCACTTTTTTTCGATTTTGTTACTAATACACTTATCAGATCTCAACTGATACACATATAAGGTGGCCCAGAGATCCTCTGACATTTTTTCGATGAGGAGAGCTAAGAGGTTCATCATTTGAAAGAGATATTTCACTGCATAGTCCTGTCTATTATTCAAAAATATCAATTGCTTTTAAAATAACCACTCATCCGTTTGCATTCAAAAAAATAGTATTAGCCCTATAAAGATGATGTATCATGACGACATTTTGAAGTCATTTGATATTCTTCAAAGGAGCATAACATTTATCTTTTGGATGTAGAACTTCTACATATTTCGTCTAGTGTTTTTTTTAATTTCATTGATACAATTAAGATAATAAACGACTGAAGATTTTTCTCTCTTGTCATATAAGCAATTGATATTTTTGAATAATAGATAGAACTATGCAGTGAAACAGCTTCTTTCATAATGAAGAAAAACATCTATGAAATGATATAGGAATTAGTAAATATTATGCGGCATGAATACTTTATTGAAATTTAGTCAAAGTTATTTATATTTTGTTTGACTTTTGAATAATTCTTTGAGCTTTATCTGATGACAATGACCCAAATCAATAAGTATCGTATTGAGACAACTGCTATATCAAATAGACTAAAAAAAATAAATGCATCACAACTCGTATATATCAGAGTGAATAGAAGGTGTTGTCACTCTTTGACTTTTGTTGCAATATATCTGATATTCTATATATTGCTGACAATGACAGTAGAAAGAAGCAAAACTGGACGGAGGCAGTTTCTTTGGAAATCGAGAAAACAGAGAGAGTCCTAGTGTGCGTTGTTGAAAGCAGACGATATTTCCTCTCTGTTTGCACTGCCGCTGATTATCTGATTTAATCTCATGCGATTAAACTAGAGACTTTTAATCATTAAGATAGTGCAAAAATCTAAATTAAATCACTGAATATTATTATTTACATGCAGCAAAAGTACAATAATATATTTTTTTGAGATAGTTGATCTTCTCTGGATTCAATACATATCTAACTATATTAATAGATTAAACATTTTTTGTATTATCATAATATAAAAATGAAATAATAATGTCATGATCTTATTGATATTGTAAACAATGTCAACTTTCATAAGATTGATTTTAAAGATATTTCTGAGTAGATGAACACTTTTCAATAGAAATTTAGATAGCATTTGGTCGTCACTCTTGTGACAATAACTTTATGTAAGAATTGTTCCTCATACTTTGAATTTATTTCAGATTTGTTCTAAGATCGTCGTGATTCATTACTCTTTGTACAAGATTATTCACAACAACATATTAAGATGCGAATACATTACGGTTTAGATATTAATCGTGAAATGCAGACAACCTACTGCGCTATGGCATTATTCCTGTTTCTTCTTACACAGTTCGATACTTCGTATAATCTAGACAGATCTCATGAGGTAGTTTTCAATTTGCGGATGCCAAATGTGACATCAAATGAAACAAATTTATACTGCGATATACCTTATGATGATTGCCGTTGCTCTGTTGTATCAGTGAAATACTGCCTCACTGATGCGCGGCTTAAGTTCAGTCGCATCTTACCGATAATTTTATTCGTAGTACAGATTTATCTTGCTCAAGGACTTTTTTCTTTAAGTGGAGATCACAAACATCTTCTTATTTGTGCTTTATGGATTACTTCAATGTTTGTTCTCATTGGTATTATAGCTCTGATTTATCGTAGCAGCTGTTGTCATGGGTATACAATTATAATAATTTCCGGTACGGGTTTTTTAGTAATTGGTTCTTATTTTTATGCTTTCTTCGCTGAAACCGAACGTCGTTGGCCATCCCGTAGGAACAACTACATCATGAACGTTCAAAGATACCAAATGACTGATGGTGAAGCTCAGGTTTAATATGAGCTGCTTTAACCTATAGCTTTTCAGGCTGTTAATAAAATCTGTATTCTATCAAATAAATCCCTTTTTTGTTTCTTTTTTCATGTATTCGATGGATGATAATCTTCTGTTATTAATAAAATACCAAAATATTTCGGAGAAAATGAGCAGTTATAGAGTATACAATTTGCAAATTTTCGTTAGAAGAATGAAATTCGGGAATAGGGTTTATTTAGATAAAGATTTTTTTCCAGTGTATCAAATCCAATGACTAGATTATGTGTTTTCATTTACTTTAAGGATCATATTGTTAATTCAAGTTATTATACATTTCGATAATGTTTCAATATTAAAATATTCATTTTAGTTGATATGCTATTTGAAAACTTGAATAGAAATTAATGTTAATCTGTACATTCAAAAATGAAAAACGTGGGTGTTTAATAACTATCAATCAAATTAGTGCAGCTGAGTTTGTTTTTTAATAAATCAACTATTAATTGATTCGTTTTTTTCGTTTTAATTTCATTTTATTTTAACTTAAGGAAAATCTTTTTTTTTGAATAAAAATGTCTAAAAGATAAGTGTAGAATTTTTATATTTAATAATACGATTATATATTATTCACTATAGTGAAATGCACAACATCTTGTTCTAATGATGATCTTAATGATAAGATTGAAAATTCAACACTTATTATTTGAGGAAATATATTTTAAACAAACATCAGAAAAATAAAATGAAATTGTAGAGATAAAGAAAAACAAAACAATAGTTAATTTAAAAGAAGTAAAATTCAACTGCACTCATTGGGTTGATAATAATTGATTTTCTTCTGAAGCTGATTGACGACTACCGATTACTATATCGAAAACTGAATACCTAATTGTAGAAAGCGATGTTATGGTCGATGCACTTAACTAAAATTTAACGAACGTTTATTAATAAAAAATGAAAAATACCAAGATAAAACTAATTAGGACGAAAGTCAAAAAAAGTCCAAAAGAAAAAATCACCAAAAGTAATAAAACGTAACGAACGAAAAACCCTAACTTGACTGTTTGTTTAGAATTGCTCCAATATGTAATGGCCATATACAAGTATTCTAAAACAATTACATAAACACCCACACCCGCAACAACTGTTGCCCAATACGGTTTTCCAAAGCCAATAGTCGCGCTAACCATTGTAAACGTATTGAGCAACAGAAACACTGGAAACCTCTCATCTGTTACTTTGGCCTTTAGACCCTTTATTGTTGTTAAATCTTCAAAATGCAAGACCAAAACAAACGGTCCGATAAAACCAAAAGAAACCATCATTCCAACTCTAGATTTTACCACATATTTCCTATGAAATTCTATAAAAACATATCAACCAATTCGAAATACTTTATTTTATGTTAAGTCAATAAAAAAAATATCTTCCGAAAGAGCATGAAAACCTGAATATTGCCGTATAAATTTCACAGAGATATACTTGAGAGGACGAGAATGACGGATAATAATCTTATTAGAAAATTGTTTTTTTCAATTTATTTTTTAGAGATTTAGGAGTATATCCTTGTGAAATTGATACGGCATGATTCGGGTTTTCGGCTTTTTTCTAATAATATTTTTTCACTAGTTTAGCATAAAATAAAGTATTTCCTAGTAATATATGATAATTAAATTTTATTTTTTTGTATATCTTACTCGAAATTTGGATCTAGGAGATCCTCATCTCTCTCCATTGTAATTGCCACATCGTTAATTCTCGTTTCATGAGAATTTTGATTGTTTTTTTGTTGATAAGGACGTCGACTCACTTTAACTAGATATGTAATGTGAGATTATTTTTACTGTATGATTAAATGGATCATAAAATTCTAAGCTACTTATTTTACTTTTCTTTTTCCATTCAATTTTAGACGGTAACGATTCAGTAATAGGATAGGAAAGCGAAAAGAATATGTCAATGTCTCTTTTAGTCTATAGCGATTTCCTCTAGGCATAATATGTCCGTCATCAGAAACGTCCATTAAACAAACGTGAAATAACTAAAAAAAGATAATAATGTTATTATAATTCCAAATAAAGATCATTACCTTGTTCATGTACGAAAAACAAAAGTTGATTCAACGAAATTTCTCTATTATCAAATATTTAAGTAAGAAAAATTTCATAACAAAAAAATCAAAATGATTTATTTTATTTATATCTGATTGTACATTCGATAAAAGAAACATCAAATGATCTTATTTATCACTATACAGCTGCACCATTAATTGATATGATTTTTAATAGTAGTAATACAATTGTATATGTATATGGTCAAACAGGATCTGGTTCGTTAATTTATTTCTTATTATTATCTTATTATTTTTAATCTTAATTTAGATAAAACATTTACAATGGGTGTCAATTTATCATTAGCAAAAAAAGATTATGCTAATGCAATTTATGTTTGAATTGAGTTTAGTAATATTTGATTAGTATAAATATCAATGACATAAGACTAATATTGAAAAAAATGAATGTATCGTGTAATTATGAGTCTCTGTATGATGACAAAACTTTATAGAGATATCAAATAAGTGAATCAACAGAATATATCAGATAATGCTAATTTTTTTTATGGTAATTATCGTTTTTATCACTAATATATTTGGATAGTATGTTATTAATTAAAAAGAAAAGTACAAAGTTTGATAAAATAATGAATTGTTAATAAAGAAAAGATGCATCATCTTTAAGTCGTTTAAGTATTTTCGTTCGTCGTATTGAATCTGATGATTTTTGTCGACTTACTAAAAATTTATTATATGGATGTTCTTGTTGAAAATAATCTGTAGTTGATATAAGACCAGGTGATGATAATAATGGAAATTCCATTGATGGTATTTTATTCATAGTTACTTGTGTTAAATTATGTGTCCATTCAGTTTCATAAATAGGTGTTAATTGTTCAAGTGAAGAACATATCGTTGTATTTGGAATTATTGCCTGAGAATTTTTTTGATTATTATCATTTTCAGATGATAAAATTTGTTTGGATAAGATAGAAAGATTACATGATGAAAGTCGACCAGACATGAGTATACGATCAGTTGGTGTTTTAATATAATCTAAAAATTGATGGTTGTTATTTAAGTCATTGATATTAGTCATTATTGTTACCTTGCATTCGATTGATCTTACGAATAGTTTTATAGAATTTATTCTGATTATTTTCGACAATGGAATCTATTAAATAAATCATTCATTTTCAACGCTTTTTACAGTTGTTTTTTTTTGTTTACCTGATCGAATCAATGAACTATGTGAAGTTGTCGAACTAGACAATGTATTAATTGTTGTACAATTTTGATTATTTATTTCTGTTGTTGTTGTTATTATAGGACTATGACTGATTAAATGAGGATAAGAATTATATAATTGTGATAAATGATTTTTATCATCTGAATGACATTTTATAAATGAATTGTTTTTAATACTTTCTTGTTCGGGAAATTCTTCATTTAATTCATATGATAAATATCGATGATGATGATAATGACAAAAATAATAATATATATAACAATATAATATAATTAAAAGTAGAATTAAACTGATCAATGCTATAAATATTAAGTAGCCAATAAGATCATACACAATATAAGTATTGATTAATGGAGTATTTATAAATGAATGAAACAATCGATTATTCATCATAATAATTAAAATAGAATATTGAAAATGACAGTTTTTTTCTAACACATCAAGTTATATGATATATGTTCATCTACTTGACTATTTCAAGTAAATTTTAAAATGACAGAGATCAACATTATAAAACTGTAATGGGAGAAAGAGAATCAAACATTCAATATGAATCACGTTCATATATATATATATATGAATAATAGAGAACACATATATGTATGTGTATATAGTAATTGTACACATGAGGCAATGTTTATTGATAATATGTATGGATGAGTTCATATATATATACAACTACATCCTAATATTAAGTGAGATATTTCCTCCTTTCAAGAATGATTTCAGTTTTTTTTTCTTCTTTTGTATAAAATATGAGTATATTGTCAAGGTGAATCATAAGTAAGGGGTGATACCATGATGTCAATTGTATGAATAGCGAAAAAAGGAAGAACCATCGATCATACATAACATATTATAGCGAAAAAAAAGCCTTATGATTAAAATGATGACGTAGTTTTGTACTCACTGTTTATTCTTATTCAAATTCGTTATCAACGTAAAAAATCAATACTCTACTTCCTTTGGTATCCAATTTATTACATATATATACATAACAACCGATAACTATATGCATCATTTACATATAAACAAACATACATATCAGATGAATTTCTTTTGTATAAAAAATAATGAAGTTTAATAAATGACTCTATTATATCGATATAGTTCATATAGATGGTGTAACATTGTTGAATATATAAAGTTATTTTTCTTTATGTACATATTATAATCACTTTTCAAAATGAATAAAAAAAAACATGACAGTCAATATTATTTAATAATAACGGTTACGCATATGTTTGCTTGATTTTTTTTAATTGATCATACATGGTTAAAAATTTATTTGCGGATAATATTATTTTTTTTTATTGAAATGGTAAAATAAAGATTGTGGTAAATATATTTTGAATAATTAAGAATGATTCTTTAGAGTTTCTACGAGAAATATACTCGCATATGTACCTTTAATTGTAAGACATTAACACTGCTTTTGTTAATATTTTTAATAAAGTACACTTATATTATTATGTACGACTTCAAAGAAAAGCAGACGATTAGATAGAGTACACGTATAACGAAATAACAAGACAACAAACCGCATAGAAAGAAAAAGCACAACCATGTCTCTCGACTGTGTTGTTTCTCGCATGAGTTGTTTTTATCTGATATAAAACAAATGAGAAAAAAACAACGTCAACAAACATATATATTACGACACTTGTTTTTTCCCCAATATATGTATATATATAACAAACATTCTATTAACATCATATAAATTATCAATTTTTACAATTAACAAATATGTCTTCTATCATCGATAATGAAACAGGTTTTTCTGAAAGTGATATACATTTTGCTCGAAAAACATTTATTCGTGATTGTCCTAATGGACGTTGTTCAAAACAAAAATTTCTTACATTTATACGAAAATCAACTTTACAAAAAATTCATCAATCAAATGTTCCATTTTTTAAAACATTACAATATTATCGACGACGTAAAAAATTTTTTTCGATGATGTTTGATATATATGATCGAAATCATGATGGAGAATTAGATTTTGATGAATATCTTTATGCATTATCAGCACTAAGTGGTGCTAATCGTTTACGTACAATTGAAACATTATTTTGTTTTTTTGATACCAATAATCAAGGTTATATAACACGAGAAGAATTTAATTCAAGAAAAATAATAGCAGCACAATGTCTTGGACAAGCAAAAACTGGTATTAAAGATAAATTACTATATGAACAAGCATTTAATGCAATGGATGTAGATAAAGATGGACGTATATCAAAAGATGAATTTATTCAATGGCATTTAAATGATCATTTAAAATTAGATGAAACAAAATCAATAAAAAAACGAACGCGTTTATTGCGTACTATATCAAATCTAGTTGATGGTCGTGGTCCAATTGAAAAAAACCCGGTTGATATATCATTAGACAAGACTATGAATATTAATACTAATCAAGAGTAAGTTTATTTATTCAATCTCTACGTTATCTTATCTTTATTTTCATGTTAGATCATCTTCAATGTTTCATATTGATCAATATCTATTAAATATTTTTCGACAAGCACGCAATCGTTTTCATTATGGAAAAAATAAAATTAGTGATCACCAATTTGATTCAGGTGTATTGACGTCATCACCAATAAACGCAATCACTGATTTAGACTTGACTGAAAATAGTTTTCAGTGCATTGCTACTAATGAAGCAGATAATGAACTTTTATATCAATCATTAGAAGATGTTTTAATTGAAACATTACATGAATTGAGACAACAGCGACAAGAACAAAGATTAAATAGTAATTGTGCAGATAAATCTCTTAGAGAAGATCAACATTCAATAACAATTCGACTGTAATTATTTTTGCATACCTTCTATATGACCAGTGAATAATTAGTTCTAACTGTGAAGTTCAGATGAGTTTAACTTTCGGACTATTCTATAAAATTTTACTCTAAGATATTATCTAAAAGTTATTCAACATGTATGATATACTATGATAATTTTTTGAGCAAAACGTGCTGACAAAGTTAAGTTTATTAATAATCTATTAATAAGTTATCTTGATTTATAATGATAAAAAGTATTTTATTATAAAAAAAATATTTACTGTTAGACAGAAATCTTTTTTTTCCATATTTTTCGTAATTACTAGTCAGAGATTTTTTTATTTTATAGTGTAGATTCGATGGATGTTTTTTTTGTAATATAAATTAATATTTTTCATAAATAAATTATAATATTTATTTATATACATTGTTCTTTATTCAAAACATATGTTATCGCATCGAATACATTATATTGATTTTATATACATCTAGATCATAGACATTAGTATATATTGAAATGATATTTCAAATAGTTTATCAATGAATGGTGTATATACAAGATTATTGCCAATTAATTTCTACAAAATTAAATATATACTATGAAATTTAAACTTTAATCGTCTCTTTAGAGCACAATTCATATCTAATTCTTTCTTTGCTTTTCTGTCGGGTATATTGATTAATAACAATATAAATCATACGAATATGAAATGCAACGCGGTTTTGGCCAATTTGTTTTTCGTTCTGTATTCTCACAAAAAGCGATTTTTTTTCTATCTGTTCTGTGCACTTGTATTTTCATACGTAGATAACGTACGCAAAGATTAATTCAAAGCCTACTTCTTAAAAGATCGTAACCAGTTGGATATCGAGGAAGTGATATTTTATCACCATCAATAGTTGTGTCTGTGTCTAAATGAAAGTAAAAAATGGTTCATCTTCTACGATACATTGAAATACAGTCGTATAAATTATGAGATTTGTCATATGAACATGTGATTACTAGATCGAATGATAGTAGAAGGTGTGACTCGTCGTCTATCTATAATTTACGATTCATTTTTATACATAATTATCAGGCAAAAGAACGTTTATGAATTATATTGATAGGTGTCACAACTGACTGTTTAAATCAAATTTTATAATATATAAAATTCTAACCTTTTCTTATCTTATGTTGGATAATATCAAGTAACTCATAGAAATCATCCCAAACGTTTAGCGATTTTACATGATGAACGTAAAGCTAAAGCAGAAAGTAGAACAATAAGTATTTGGTATTATCATTGGTATTTTAGTTTTCAACATACCATTCTCCTTTTTTTACTCCTACTATTTACTTGACTTTTCTTTTGAAATAATTTATCTGATGAAATATTTCAGATGATTTCTCTTAAAATAAAGGTGAAACAAAATACTTTTGTCTATATCATTGAATATTTGGTTTTTGTTTGACGAATTAATAGTTCCACCATTCGATTTCATCAGTTAGCAAATCTGCTAATCATATTTTTATAATTTTTAGTTGAAACCAAACTATACGTTGAATAAAATACTATTTAAACGAGTATATAAGTAAGAACGTACAAATAATCATATGCGTGTCTAGAGATAAAAATTATTACAATGCATGTAGACAGGCAAGTAGGATTAATATTTTATTTATCCTTCACACACAGTCAAATTTAATTATTGAATGATATCCCAAAAGTTTTGATAAATCATATACACTTTGATCAAAACTAAATAATATTTGTTTGATGATTTTATTAATTTCTTTCCTTGAAATATATATGAATCATCTTTTTTGGAAATTTTCATTTTTATTTTTATTAGAAGAGGAAATACATTGATACGTAAATAGTCTCACACACTGTTAATTGTGATAAAACTGTTAATTTTATAATTTAGAATAAATAAATAAATAAAGTACATGTTAAATGATACTAAGCAGTACATGATTAATATTATAACAAAAGAATAAATAAATATGTGCTAATGATCTCATTTAACACGATACTTTGTTGTTCTATATATAAGCATGCGAAATAAAAATAAGCTGTTTTTATTGTTATTTTAAATGAGCTGAAATCTTTGGACACGGTTGTTATTATAATCGGTTACATACATGAATGTTTCATTATGATTAATAGCTAATGCTGAAGGATAGTTAAACGTTGTATCACTGGATCCCGGATTGCCATTAATATCACCTGCAATAGTTACTCCTTCAGTTGCTCCTTGATTCCAGCGTTGAATTCTATTATTACCGTTGTCCACTATGTACAAAGCTCCCGTCTTATTAGATATTTTAATATAAGATGGAGCAGAGAGCTGATTGCTTCGTGAACCAGAACCATTGCCGCCTGCTACTGTAGTGCCGTTGCATGGCCAAGTATCATTTAAGTTGTATCGTTGAATTCGATGGTTGTTTGAATCAGCGACATACAACCATGAATTGTGTTCATCAATTGCTATTCCTACAGGCATATCAAGATCCATAGAAGTAGCGCCACTAATAGCTGAGATATGACCAACTATTATTGTACCATTCAATGCATTTGGAGGCCAAAACATTACTCGATGATTCAACATAAGAGCAACGATCACATTCTTATGACTATCTACTACTACTCCATATGGAAAATACAAACTGCTAAGTTCTGTTCCACGAAAACCATCACCTGCAACTATACGGGGTAGGGGATTAATTGTTTGCATGTTAGAATATAACACAACTTGAGAAGTAGCATAGTTAGTAACATAAATATCACATCCGTTTCTAGCATTGACATATACATCCAAAGGCATGGACAGAGACTGTCCAGAAGCCCCTACAGTTGCTACTACAGAAATATTTGTATAGTTTGTATCAGCATCCCATAAACCGAGAATACGATTATTGCCATCATCTACAATAATAATTGAGTCACTGTTGGTTCCCAATATATCAATTCCCGTAGGCGAATTTACACCAACAGTCGGACTATTGCTCATTTTAGTGGTATCATCCGCAATTGTTGTTCCAGAAAGTACTGACAATGCTATAAAGATAAGAAGTAGATTTCATTATGGAAGAAATCATTGAAAACTATCAAACTATAAACTCTTGTAACACTTTCTCGATTATATCTTATTTTATTCTGTTAATAAATCTTTTTTAAGTGTCATGAGAGAACTATCGATCTCAAATCAGATGAAAATATAATGATAGACAAAAAAAATTTTGTATAACTTACGACCACATTGATTAAATTGTAAACATGTATAGTTAAGATCTTGTCTACACATGCTCATATTTTGTTGACAAGATGCACCAAGTATTGGCGATTGTGGAATACACATTGAAATTGATGCATTCCAATAAGTATGTGGCATACATTCACACGTAGAATTACTACCACATCGAAGATAGCGAATTTGATTACAAGTAGAAATACATGGACTGCCGTATTCAGCGAAAAGACGTGCGGAAATTTGTAAAGTACCAACTTGTGCTTGAGATGAAGATGATGAAACAATTTGACCTAATTTATTTGTATCACCTTCAAATAATCGACATTGTTTCGATGAAGATACTCCATAATCAAAAATACGGCATAGGACATTGTTGTTACATAATATAGAACATTTCTTGATTGAATCAGTATTAGTTATCGAAATAAGTTGAGCTGGCATATTAGCAGGTATATATTGATTGCCTTGACTTGATAATATTGTTTGACTAGCAAAGATTTCTTGAGAATAAGTTTGTTTAATAATTAAAAAAAGAGACCACAGCCAAATAGTCGTATGAAAAGAGCAGTAATTGTAGAATGGATAGAAAAACATAATTGTTAACTAAATAATACGGAAAAGATTATAATATGTTACATTTTATCACAATAAAAAATAATCTAGATTTATTTTTTAAACAAACAGAAATCTGTTTAAATAATGAATAATTGTTGATCTTTATTTTGACCATGATTCTACTCCTTTACTCTGGTAATATTCTAGATATTTTAAGAGAGACTCCACGACAACATTGAGCAACGTTCCAATATACGAGGCAGAAGATAAAAAATACTTTTTTGATCTTTTATGTGCATTTGAAAGACCATGTTTTGAAACTAACAAATCCAAATTTTTAGCTCTAATAGTATAAACGTTATATCAATTAAGTTTAGATGATCGCATGAGTTTGCGTATGTATCAGACGAATAACTAATGAATATAATACTCATTCTTCTGATATATAATGTCTTGTTTTTTTCCAGTTTCTGGAAAAATTTATAAGTATCTACTAGAATCTCTTAGAATGTACAAGATCATCTACCATTATCTTTAGTATTTTCACTTAGGGAATGCTTGCTTTGGATATGAGTACAATGAAATACCGATATCCTTGCAGAAGAAACTAATACATACCAAAAAAACTGTTCTTGTTGTTAAATGCTATCGTTTAAGGAGAGCCTTTTTTTCAAACTGACAACAAATAACTCAACTATCGTATTCTTTTTATACACGTCACTAGAGAGTATTTATTAAAAACAGAGAATAGAATAAGAACTTTTTTTTTCTTACAATAACGTCTAGTTTGATTCGTGAAAACAACTTTAAATTATATTTTTCAGCTTTTTATTTTCTTAGAGATGTATTTTTTTTTGCTGACGTATTAAAAATGTCATATGATGTATAAAATATATCATATGACGTGAATTGTTTTTTTTAAATTAGATTTCTATTATTAACAAATGTGCAATTTCATATTTAATGAGCAATTTTTTTTTAAGACTTGAAGTGAACGGATATACAAACTTGATAAGAAGAATACTTGTGAAATAGTTTGTTGTTTGACATTTATTCCTCTGCTTTAATATCGGTACTTTTAATGTGTGTCATATGTTAAAAATGTATCATAACGAATTGATCGAAAGACGAAGAGTTAAACGATCGTTCGAATGGAAAACAAAAAAAAGCGTTCAATATATATTGCGCACATGCTATCGGGAACACCGAAAGGGAGTACATTATATATGAAAGATGAAACTTTTAATGTAGTACTAAGAAACAGTAAACTATGAAAAACTATTAAAAGTAATATAATCATGGTGTAACTGATTTTCAATATTTTTTCAATTCATTTTTAGTACCTAGATAGTTTGTTATTTATTAATTTAAAAAAAAATTCATTAATAAATATTAATCCATCATAGTGCACCATCTAATAATGCTTTTTTTCCTTCGTTCGATCATACATAATAGTGTGTTTATTTTCTCTCGAAGCTTCTATTCTATTCTACTTTATATAATATTACTTTGACGCACTTTAAATTATATTTAAAACGATAGAAAGTTTTTTTTTTAATTTTTTTCTAATAAATCATGGCAAATATAAGTTCAGATGTTGAGCATCTTCGACAACAATATAATGCTGGAAAAAATCAACGTGATGGACTTGTAATCCAATATAATAATAAACAATTTCAAGATGGTGATGAATTAAAAAAAACCGATACTCAAACTGAACCAAAAGTTCAAATTAATATTGAAACTGATTCAAAAAATCCACATTTTACATTAGTAAATATTCTTTTCTTTATATATTTCTAATATTTTAGTTATTATTTAGATCATGGCTGATCCAGATGCTCCTCAACGAGGTAATGAACGTGCTGGACCATGGTTACATTGGATTCAAGCTGATTTTCAAGGAAATAATATAAGTAATGGCAAAACACTTGGTAAATAATTTTTATAAAAAACAAAAACAAAATATATTCAATTAAATTTAATCTTTTCTTTCATAGCTGATTATCAAGGTCCAGCACCACCATCTGGTACAGGACCACATCAATATATATTCTTATTGTATAAATCAGCTACAAATGATTTTTCTAAACATAATGGATCGATTGCTGTCAGTGATTCAGAAAAACGTAAACAATTCAATCTAAAAAAATTTGAAAATGATCATCAATTACAATTAGTTGCTACAACATCATATACTGTTATTGGCTAAAACTATAAACTTTCTTTTATATGACTGATTGTATTACATTTGTAGTTATAGATATTTTATTAAAAGATAATCATTAGAATGAGGATAAAGCTAACAATTATCTTTAATTTCTCCAATACTACATATTTTTGCACATGATAAAAATTAATAATTTTATTATTTTTCTTTTTCAAACAAAACTTTTTACACAGTATAAATTATTTAAACAAGTATATTTCATAATTTCGATTTTCTCAATGAATATTATGAGATGAAAATACTGGACGATATTTCGGTGGTGGTTCATTAGTTATTGATGATGATAAATCTGTTAATTTTTCTTGTTCAACATTAACATATTGTTCAATACCATATCGAAATGCACATTTTCCTAACATAACTGTTCGAACTGTTTGTGTTTGTTCATGAACTTCAAATTGACCAGAACTTATACCAGAATTTCCCGAACGTAATGCATCAGAAAATATTGTTGCTAAATCACCTTCCATATATTTATAATAACCACCTGTATTATTTCTTGTACTAATCATTGCAGATATTCGACCACTAAAACGTACTTCAATAGAAAAATCAGCTGAATATTCTTCTTCAGTTATACATAACCTATAAAAATTGAATTTTTAATTTATAAGAAAACGAAAGAAATTTTTTCTTACTCAGCATTTGCTTTTGAATGTGGTGAAACACGAATAGCTGAATTAGCTGACCAGAGCATAAGTGTTTCAAATGTTGAATCTTTTCCATAATCAACACGTTGTTCATGTCGAAGACCACCACCAACTTCTAAAACTTCATTTGGTAATTTAAATTTAACTGAACCTTCTTTTTCTTTTGTAAAACCACGTGTAAATGTAAAACTTAATGTTGTTACAGTTGAACGTTCAGCACGTAATGAATATTCTTGTTCACAATCAGTATTATTTGAAAAATGTGTTTTAAATAATATCTGTGACTTAGGTAAATGCTTTTGATTTGGATGAGCAAAAACAGCTTCGGATTGCCAAAAATTTGCACGTTTCCAATTAATTTTAACATCAAGTTCTTCACGACGATATTTTGAATCTTCACGATTACGTTTTGATAATTCCCACATTTTCCATATCTAAGAAACAAAAAACATTTTTTTTTCATACATAATTAAAAAATGAATAGAATTTTGAGACACATGATGCAATGAACTTTGTTCGATTATGTTCAATGAATGAAATAATGTTATATATGCACACCTGCTGTGTTCCGCTTTCTTTCCATATGTAAATTCAAATCATATACGCAATATGACGTCTGTTATAACTTACCCATTTTTCGATGATTTCATCTAAATCAATAATTGTTTTCTGATGTGATCCAGCATCTAAACGTTCCTTGATTTCTTGTCGTTGTAAAGTCATAGGCTATGTAAAAAAGAAAAAGAATACAATGTATAAGGTCAAATAATTAGGATTAGATCAAATGTCGGTATTGACTAGTAGTTTTGTACTTTTACATGAAACAAATTAAGCATAAATGATTTACAATCGGTATGTTATTTCAGTTATCATCATGCATGAACAATATGAATATGCCGACATTTATAGAGCAGTGAGGTAGAAAAACAAACATAGAATATATTTCTTTTGCTTGAGAAATGAATAAAAATAAATCACATGTATCTGTGATTCTACTCGTTCAGTTTGTTTAGATAGTGAAATTAGATCGACTCAATATAATACAGGTATATACATATACATATATCAATATTCTATTTAAAAAAAATAGGTACACTTGAGACTAAGAGTAGCGTCATGATTCACTACTTCAATTGATGATTATGACTTGATTGATTCATTATTCAGTCTTCTCTTATCATCAGTGCAATAATTCAATATTTTTTTCAAAGGAAATAAATCATATTTATCTACTTACACTTTTTCTTTGATTAATTAATGTTGGGATATTTTGTATAAGTCTTTCTGTTGCTCTACCGGTTATATCAGTAAAATTAGTATTACTAATATCGGTTATTGTAGACATACTGATTTAATCTTTCTTTTTTTATACAATGATCGTTCTACAATTTATTCATACATATATTTTTTTCTTCCTCTTTCTCTTCTCAAAATCATGGAATAGAGAGAAAGAGAGAGAAAGAATAGTTTCAGAAGTATATATATATCCAATCAATAGCAAGTCTATTTCGAAAGAACAACGAAGAAAAATAATCTCTTACATTATCATTTCTTACCCTTTTTCCTCTTTTACATAGTGTACATTTCAACATACGTTTTAGTTAAATTCTTCATCATATATCTATCTCGCGTTTTAAACAATAATTATCTATGTCTATCATCATTATCTCAATGGAACAATTTTACTAGAAGGGCAAAAAGTCAATTAATATCTGAATTATATACATACACAGATGTATGAACAAATGTCACTAATCAAATTATCTTTTCTATGCGTAAATTTATTCATGAGAAGTATTCATAGTGTCATTTGTTTGAATATGATGATGTTCATCATGATGAGCACCTTTACGATTTGTTGATTTATGACCTATTCTTTTTGTCTTCTTTTGTCTCGTAGTTTTTGCATTTCGACGTGATTTAGTTTTTTTCTTTTCGATTCCATGTTGATTTGTTTCCGTAGGAGAAACTGTCGCTTCATAAGCTTGTTTTTGTTGAGCAGATTGTTTTCCAAGACCACCACCTTTACTCTTTTTATGCGATTGTTTTGTATGATTTCGTTTAACCATTTTTTAAGTATCGAATAAAAATAAACAAATGTTTCGCGCTCATATATTATTCTATATCACAACCTTATGACTATATTTCGCCCGCGTTTGATAAAAGAAAACTGTGCATACTAGTAGAAACTAATTCTATTTTATCTTAAGGCTATTATCGATATATTGTACCTTGCCAGAATAAATAACAAGTGCATTCAAATCGTTTGACAACTTTCTTTGATCATCATCTCATCAATAACAATCATATGGCCTTATTTATTCTAGATGTTATTTACACAAAACTAAAAAATAGAACAACACTTACCGAACGACCAACCATATTGAAATATTAAAATAAGAATGTGAATTAAGATCTAATATAAAATAAAGAATGTATATGTATATTCAATGATAATATCCAGATCTCTAATCTCTGTCGACTCATTGTATAAACAAATCATAATGTACGGAAGCGTTTATTTTCACTAGTATGTCAGGAATCAATCATGTGTTTGTGATTGATATGATTTAAAAGAAGAAAAAAAAGAGAAAGAAAATACTTTCTCTTCCTGTTTTCTCTCATCAGAATGAACGAATATTCACTAGATAAATACACATAAGGATGATGAGCTTTTAACCAGATGGTGTACTGATGGTAGAAACCTATAAAAATGATTGAAGGAAAGCAAGTGTGTATGAAAATATGTTCACGTCAGTCTGCCATCAACATATGTATATGTGTGAATGTGATTTATGAGAATTATCACGCATCATACTAATAAGATAACAAGATATCGAAGGCGAGAAATGAATAAAGATATATATACGAGGTTACTTGTATATTCGATGTCCTTATTATTTCGTTCTTTATCTCTCTGTCTCTCTCATTTACTTACATATTAACAAAAGATGAAACAAGTGTATATAACTATTTGATTAGTTCTATATGACAATTAATAACAATTTTCATGTAAAGGTCGCTGAATGTTCATTTAATCGGATATATATTTCATGTTAACAAAATTCTTCTTCTTTTTTTTTTATGATATATACTTGAACTTTTGAAATTGAAAGGAGAGAAAAGTTCTTCTTTTTTTTCGTCATTCATTCGCGATTTTGCCTTGATTTGTTTGTAATTGGGATCATGTCTCTTTGCACATATATATATATATGTGTATTCGCCCGCCTACAGTAGTGTATGTTTCATTTAATTGATTCAATAGAAAAAGAGATCGTATCGACAATTGAAAATGAATATCAATTGTGTTTAATCAGCTTCCTATATCTATATATATCTTTGTCTTTACTTCAACAAAGACAATAAGATCTACGGAGATAATGAATTATCAATTGAATAAACACGGTAACAATTGAATAGTTCAATAGAAGCTATAAATAAAGAAAATGATATATATGTCAATAGATGGCTTCCGAAACTAAAAATATCGACTATCAATAAATTTTTCACTTTACATACACTGACAATATTTATTAGAAAATTAAACATTTTTTTTGCATATATATATATATCATTTCTATGTACTTCAGTTAACTTTGATAAATTTCTTTAGTTGTGACATGTGATGATTACAAGATAATCTGATAAGTTTCATTTGACGTCAGATGGCATCTGTTCTATGTTAACGAAGGTCAATAGACTGATTGTGTCTAGAAAAATATCATTTTTGAAAATGAAAGTTGTTTTTAATCATAAAACATATTTATAGATCGAACGCAATGGTGAAATCAACGAATTGCATTTGTTAATCAAAACACATGCTTTCCTTATATAAATATATAATATTTTTTTTTAAAAAAATTCTTAGTTTACTAATGAAGTAAAAATTATGATAAATAATTTCGTTCAAATTAAAGATATCTTCTTTCATTAGATCATCAACGATCAATTTATTTCCTATACCGGAAATATTTCGATGACTTCATTTATAATTAGTAGAAGTTCATATATCACAAGTTTATATATATAGTAATACTGATTATATAACTATCGATTCGAAATTTTATCCAGTACTGTATAGTTATACATGATTAATGTGTAGTTCATACAGTAAAAATAATTGTTACATAATAAATACAAGTTTTGAATTTTTTAAAGAATATAAATGTCATATGTTAACCCTTTCAGGACGGGATTATTTTTTTGAAAAAAAATAGATTTTAAAGAATCAAATAATTCTGTTTTTTATTCAAATTTATTAATATGCTGTGCACACGATCGGATCACCTAACAACACCATGCTCACCTGTATATGCAAGAAAATAGATCAGGACGATACAGCCTAATAATCTAGTGTATAGAAGAAAAGGAAAAAATAGGTTATAATTACGCTAGTCATATAAGATATATATCACTGCTATAAGTATATTTTAACGTGTACACGGCTACTTCCTATCGTCAATACATAACATGTTTCTTTTAAAAAAAGACTGGTATATACGGTGTACCACCCGTCCTGAAAGAGTTAATTAATAGTTTTGATTGAGTTAAATTCTTTGGATTTAAAAGTAATGTTAATTGATGATACTCTCAAGCATATAATTTTCATTATGCTTATTCGTGCATTATCTTATTGTGATCTCTTAATTTTTATATGAAATTCAGTAAGTAATATAATTAAATTGAATATGAAATTATAATTAAGCACATTAGTTTTTCGTTCAATAACATTATTAACAATAATTACGATAAAAATTTCTTTCTTTCTTTTTATTGATTTATAAGTAATAGGTAACTATTATTTAAGTTTCTTATTTTCTTTTTTTTTCCGTTCTCCTCTAGACCGAATGATTAGAGAAAAGGTCACATGTACTTCGCAGAGTAGCTGAAAAAAAAACTATGCAAGGCATATACTATACGAATAGAACACAAAATAATTTTTATGTACGATTGCTGATCAAACACAACACGTGAATCGGTTTTTTTTCTTTTTTCTTTTACATACTGATGTTACATTCGCTCAAGAAATAGTGGTTTTTTTCTTCATTTGTGAATGATATTATAATAGGACTCCTAATTGATAATAAACATGAACAGAAACGGATGTGTCTATATGTATGCTATCCTTTCTATTCCTCGTTCTTTTTTTTATTCGAACTTAGTGTGCAAGTAACTTCATTTCGATGTTATCGCCATTTTTCTTTTCATTTCATAGTTATGTAAACTTATTCTTTTTCTATTCATGTAGTGCATCAGCTTAAGTTTTCATCGTAAGGATAATTATAGTGAAGACGTTCTCGTCATAAGAAAGAAGACAGGAAAAGCTAATAGTGTAACGAGAAAAGAGCAAAGGGCGACATTCTTTCATCTATTTCTTAAGAAGAACAAGAAAATCAGGTAATGGTTTATCAGTACTGAATAAATAAAAAAAAACGATGACTATTGTTCAGGAAATAATATATGTTAAAGTTTTTTTCTTATTTGTTTTTACAATTATTTTCTAGATGTCACGATCCATTGACGATCAATATTTGAATCGTTATTTTAAAGGACTTACAATCGTCCAACTTTTTCTCGGTTATGTATTTCTTATTAGTGGTCTTCTTGTTAATTTAATTCAATTTCTATCAGCCTGTTTTATTTGGCCATTTAATCGAGCTTTATATCGAAAAATAAATTATCATTTAGCAACTATTATATGGAGTCGTAAGTTTTCTTAATTTATTTTCTTTTAATTATCATTTATTATTAATAGAATTGACATTTGTTTATCAATGGTGGTAAGTTATTTGTTTTTATCAATAGAAATAGATCTCGTAATACATTAATCAGAAATCTTTATTATTCTATATTGCATGTTACACTTGTCCTTACAATTTTTCTTGATTAAATAATTTTAGTTGACAAATGTTCTCCTTTATTCTTGTCTTAGACATTGATTGATTTGGGAATCAATATATTATTGATTTAGATTTTTATTTAGGTCGAATTCAGATATAGTTGTTTATATTAAACCCGACGATTTAGAAAAATTATGTCAAGAAAATTCATTATGGTTAGGAAATCATCGATATGAAGTCGATTGGTTACTTGGATGGGTTGTTACACAAAGACTTGGATTAGCTGGAGTTTGTTTAATTTTCTTTTTTTGTTAAAATAAATAATATTATTTCAAATTATAATCAATAGGGTTCAAAGATTCTTGGCAAACAATCACTTCGTGCTTTACCAATTATAGGATGGTGTTGGTATTTTACAGAATCAATATTTTTACGACGTGTTTGGAGTACAGATAAATCTGTACTTGAACGTGATATACAACAATTAGTTCAAGATTATCCAAAAAATTATAATTTTACTGTATGTTTCATTTTTCGAAAAAAAAATATTTTTAATAGATTATTTTTTTTTGTATAGCTTTTTTTATCATGTGAAGGTACTCGGTATACAGAAGAAAAACGTCTTGAAAGTATGAAAATAGCACGAGAAAAAGGTTTACCTGAATTACAACATCATATTTTACCACGAACAAAAGGTTTTGTTCTTATAATCAAAGGTCTCCATAAACATAGTGAGTTGATTTTTTTCTTCTGAAAACTTATTTTTAAAATGAATTTCCTTTTCAAGTTACTGCAGTCTATGATATGACAGTGGCATTTCAAACTCCTAAACAACCTGAATTATCAAATCTTTTAATTGGACATCAATGTCAAGCTGAAGCTTTTATTCGTCGTATTCCAATAGCAGAAGTTCCGTATGATGATGAGAAAAAAGCTGCTGAATTTATTCAGAAACTTTTTCAAGAAAAGGTAAAATAATTTCGTTTTTTTTGTTTCAATCGAAATATTTATCTATACGAAAATTTTCTAAAGGATAAAACATTTGAATATTTTGTACAACATGGAACATTCGATGGTGCTGGTAATCCAAAAGCAGTTCATTTAAAACGTAAAAAACAAGATTTAATTATTGAACTTGCTTGTTTATTGCTTATTGGTTTACCGTCTATTTATTTATTTATTAAATTTTTATTATTTGCATCGATTTTTACACAAATTATTTTTTTTATTATCGGCATTGCAGGTAAATTAAAAATTTGATATTTAACAGAGATTTATTATCAAATATGTTTTTTATTCAGTATCTCGAATAAGACACAATATAACTGATTTAAAACACGAGAGTTAAACCTCCTTTCTTGATACTTAAGATCAAGACTAATCTTCTTTCAATGCTATATTTCTATACGATGGGATCATGTAAATCTAGATGAACTGAATTTACAATATGTAATAAATAATTCATGAAAAAATGAATTAATCATGTAGTTAAACTTTCAATCGAAAGAGATACATCAATCTTTGAATGTTGATCTTTACAAATTTCATATTCCAAAATCTAAAGTACAAGACTTTCGTTAAATCGTCTTTTATATTCAATGAATATAAATCTTTCTAAGCTTAGATTAAAATATGATTATATATATATATATCTATTTTTTCTTTAGGTATTGTTGGCATTCGTTTAATGATTAAAACTGCATCTCGACCTAAACTTCCTCTCAATTCTACTAAAGGCGAATAGAATATTTCAAACTATATTGAACTGTATGTGTGTTTTTAATGTTTTGCTTGTCTTTTTACATTTTACAAATAAAACGATATATATTATCACTTAAACATTTATGCATAAATATTTTTATTTAACAAATAAGCAACCCGTCGACATTATACTTGAGCAGTCATTGTTGAAAAAGAAAGAAAGAAAAAAAAAAGTTTTATAAGAAAGAAAAAGAATGATGACATAAACGTTTATATACGGAACAAAAAAAATAGATTACAAGATCACAGAAAACGGAAATAAATAGAATTAATACACAAACTAGCACATATTTGAAGAAAATTGATCAAATTATTTTGTTTAGAGAATTTTTTAATTATCTCACCAAAATTATATTACTTTTTTTTTCGTTTGAAATTAAAAAAAAGAAAGACAAATTTATGTCCACATTACATTTGGAACAAGACCTGAAGAAAAGTATTCAATTATCAATTAAATTTCATAACAAAAAAAAATTTACCTTCACGAGTTCGTAGACTTGGTAAATAATTTTCATCATCAAGAAAATAAAGTGGATATTCAACAACAAAACCTTGAACATGTTTTAATTTTTCTTGTGCCTTAAAATAAATCATTTTAAAAAAAAAAGCAAATCATCCAATAGAAATCTATACTTGTATTGGATCAGTATCTTTTAATTTTGGTGCTTCTGTATATTGACCAACTTGATCAAATTTTCTAACACGATCACTTGGTAATGTTGCAAATATTTCTTCATATATAAGTGTATTTTTTTTAGCAAGATCTCGAAAATAATTATAAAATTCATCGGATACTGGATCACTTAAATCAATATTTTGAGGATTTTCAAATTGAATGCCTAATAGCATTCTATAAAAAAAACCGAAATAATATAATGAATCAAATCATATATATACAGTATAGACATACGAAAAGAGTCGTTTTCTCCAACTTGCACAAAATTTTCCTACACGAACTCTTTGTCCATTAAATACACCATCTTCTTCATCACGATCATTTATAATCATACCAACTTCACTATCACGATGACCGCGTAATGAACGATCATTTATATTAGCACTACCACAAATTGCCATACGATCGTCAATAATCATTAATTTGGAATGAACATATATTATTTCAGTTACCTAATTAACAATATAAAATATAGATTTTTTTTAATACCTAATTATTAAGGACTTACTAAAGTGCCCATAAGAACATCATGAGCACGCATTCCATAAAAACTAATATAATCATCTGCCGGAACACCTATTAACAGAAAAACAATATTATTTTAGTCGAATGGTAAGCAGGGCGTAAGTCATGCCCCAACCTATAATGATCTATTTAATTCAGAATAATTTATATTTACCTTCTTTTTCGAGTCGTTTGTATAGAGATCCTTCTCCTTTTGTAATCGAACGCATAATAAAATAAAGTACGGCTTGCACTGCATTAACATTATCAAAGCCAGGTAAAAGGGGAAGAACAATATAAATTCGAAATTTTTCACGTGATCTAAATAAAATGAATTGAAATTAATATCGTTCGATAAAAACACTAAAATTACTAACGCATGTGCTCGTATTATTCTACGATAAAGAGCTTCAGCTAATTGATTTTTAACTACTGCATCTTCAGCCATTGTAATAAAAAATTGATTCTAAATTTAAAAGAATAATTATTATAGATAATCCTTCTAAAAAACGTCTAGTTTTAATGAACAATATAAAATAAGTCAATATCGGATGGAAAACATTCAAGAAGTAAATATTTAGATTAATTAAGTATAATAAATACAGAACAAGAATACATAAAAATATCGGAAATGTAATTATTCTGTTATATTTATAACTATGCAAAGAGACAGTTTCATTCTCTTATATGAAAAACTAGATGAAAATTAATTTTTATAATAAGCGAATGAGGGATCGCTATAGAATATAATCTGCTTTTCGGTTTTTGAGAACAAATTAGTACGCACTCTCCTCTGGATGTTAATCTCTATCCGGAGAGATCGGTCATCATAAATTCCTCCCCTGTGTGTGTTACTGTATGTATTCATAAATCGAGCTTGATCTCGTTTTAGTGATACAGTCGCGAACTGAATTATATTAACATTCCTAGGAAAATTTCATTGTTAGATTTTCAAAATTAAGTATATTAATAGAAGGATTAAGACATCTCTGAATATTAGTTTTCATACTTCAATATAAATATAATATTTTGCAGCATCAATCATTTGTATATAAGCATTTTGAATTGATGATTCAATTGTTTTGGTTCCTATTGACCACGGTCCTACAGAACGAACACACTAAACGAAAAAAATAGAATAAATATTATTTTTATTTTTATTTAAATAATTCTTTACTTGAGCATCCACTCTATATGGTGGACTATCAAGAAATTCTTTCCAATTAGTAACTCGTAATTCTTCACGGTCGTCATAAGTTTTCGGTAATAGAAATGGATAAGAATCATTATAAAGAAATTTTTCACACTAAATTTACAAATAAAAACAAATATTGAAAAAAACGAAATCTTTTTTCTTATACTTTATGTATATTCCATCGTTGAATAAAATGTCTTGCGACGTCACGAGCAGCTTCTCCGAAAACAACAAGTGCTTCGTCATGCCATGGCATACGTGGTACTAATTTTCGATCAATACAATCTATATTAACAACAAAAGAAATTTAATAAACTAATTTTTATTATTTATTTAAATTTACCGTCAGCAAACTTTTCAAGTAGTTCAAAATCTTTTTCATATGGATTTGAATAATCTTTTCCAACAAAATATCGATGTTTCGTATCAATAACTGGTGATGGTCCAATGATTGATTGTGGTTCTTCAGGTTTTTCTTCATCTTCAGAATCTTCATGATCTTCACTACTACTTTTTCTCATTATCTGATAGCAAAAAAGAAATTCATTTTCTTCTATTTTAAATTTTATTAATTTACTTTCGCTAATTTTCTCCATCTGCCAGCATATTTTTGTGGTCGAACAGCTTCTTCATCACCTTCTATAATTCTCGATTCAGTTCCATGGTGTTCGTCTATAATTTCAAAATATCCCTATTTTATTTTAATTTTTTTTTCATCTTTCATTAATTGAATTTATTCCTGATATGTTTTCTTTTTCATCAAAAATAAAAAGATCAAAAAAATTCACCTACGTCGTGCAAAATCTATTGTTTGATTTACAAATTTATTAAAAGCGTTGTGCGAGCGAAATCGATGAGAGGAAGTAGCAGCGTTAGTATAAGCAGCGTGATCACCCTGACCAATATCAGATGTATCTAGTGATCGTAAACGATTTAAATTAATTTTTGAATGACGCCAATTTGACATTCTTTGTGATTCTTCATCTTGTTCAGGTTGTTTATTAGTTAGTTTAGTTTCAGCATTAGTAAATGTACGCATCAATGGCTTACGTGATACACGATGATTACCCTTTTCAGAATCACTATCACCTCCATCGCCATCATGTCCTATTGTGAGAAGATCAAATGAAAAAAATAAAATAAAAATATACAAAACAATAATAGTAAGCAGTATGTAAAGCCACAAGTGTACTTATAGATGATAACACACGTAAAAGAAAAAATAAGTCGTTTGCTTGTCATATGTTATTATGTCAAGTGATTGAGAAATTAAAACAGTTTTACAGTGGAAATTATTCATTTTTATTATTTGCTTAACTTACGAAGCATTTCTTCTGGATAGATTTTAGTTGAATTGTTTTTAACTAAATATGATTACGCGATTTTAAATAAAAACAAAAAAGTAGGTGTTTTTTCGTCTTATTTCCGATAATTTTAGAAAAATAGTTTGAATTTTAATTTATAATCAAATATTTTTTTTCTTACCTGAAAGTTTTGCTTCAATCCCTATTAAAAAAAATAAAATAGATAGAAAATTAAAAATTAATTCAAATAATATATTTACATTTTTTAGCACCCGTTTTCAAATGATGACCAGTTCCACTAGCATGAGTTTGATCTCCTGATTTAACATCTTCGCTACCTTTATTTGGAGGACTAACAGTTGTTCTCATTTGATCAGTTCCCTAAAAGACATGTATATAAATACATATGATTTTTTCTATTTATAAAGATTTTAACATGCATAATTAGATAAGTTGCTGTCTTTTAATTAATTAATTAATTGAACTATTTTAATTTTTTTATTTCATCCACACTTACAATACTTAGAGTATTCTTTATTTATATTTACCTTAGCTGGATGTTCACCAGCATTTTCAGCCATTTCTGTCGTAGCCATTTTTGATGCTTCAACAGTTTCTTTACCACCAGCTGCTCGCTTATCAGCTTCAATTTCTTCTGGCATTTTTAGTTTGGTAACATTTTCTTCACCCAAATCAACAAGACTAAAAAAAATTCAGTCTTCATATTTACATAAATTGTAAGAAAAATCGAGTTTTTTTCCTAACTGTTCTCTATTGAACACTGAAAACCATAAAGTTATAAAATTCCGATAGTAACACTTACTATGTATATCAAAATTTTGTAAATAGATTGAATATTTCTTACACTATATTATCATATGAGAAAAAGTATTAATACAGATTTATGTGCAATATATGTCTTCAGGAAATCCATAGTTAGCTCCATATGACTATTATTTATTTGCCGTACCTGTAGCGATATATAAGATATCGAAAGACTACAACTGAACTGTAATATATTTGACTCGATCGATTTATTTGCGAGAATTAATTATATATCTGCTTACTTAAAGAAAAACAACTAAGATTCTATTTATAATCGAAGTTCAATACTATCCGAAAATAGTAGTTCTCTTTTAAATGAAAAGATAAATATGATTATAAAAAACAATTTCGAATGCAAATAACATTAAGAATAATGTTCATTTCATAGAGAATATGATTTTAATATCAAAGGATATATCTCAGAAAAATTAAATACTATAATTCTTTTTTTTCAGTTCGTTTCATAGAATATTAAATCAATTACTAAATATTATATTTTGTTTTCTCTTTACATCTATCTCTGCTAATCTTTATTTTTAAATCAAATTTACCGCATAAATTCATCATCCCATCGTCCAAAACATAAATCAATTCCACCAACAAATGCAATTTTCTGATCGATAATAACTAATTTTTCATGATGAGACCATAGAAAAACTCCTCCACTTGGATAATGATCAGGATGACGAATAACCTTTAATAAAAACAAAACCAAATCATTTCATATTATTCTTCGATATCATATTAATAAACTATACTTTAATAAATCCTTTTTTACTTTTACCAATCAATGCACGTTTCGTATGTAAACTATTTAAACCCATCGCAAATGATACTTCTTTAAAAACTAAAACATATACACGAATACCATCGTCCTAAAAACAAAAAAAATTAATTTATCTGAACCAATTAAAATTTCTTTCTATCATACCGCTATTTTTCCTAATAAATTATCGAGTCGAAATGAATCATCATCAGTTGGTCGAATCATCATAATTTCTGGTGATAGCCACCAATCAGTTATAAAAACTTCTTCTTTAGCTGTTAATAATGCTTTCGCTACTGATTCCATATAAGATTTACCATTGATAAACCTAGAGGAAAAATATTCTTTTTATATTATAGAAATTTTCATTTGTAAATACCAATGTGCTAATTGTTTCTGACGAACTGGTGCAAATGAATTAAACCGGCTTGCATGTGAACTAAGAAAACTTTTTGATTGTTCTTTTAAATTCATTAAATGTTGTGTCCATTCATCACAATCACGTTTATTTCGACATTTAAGAACTAATGAACGTTGTAAATTTGTTATTTTAATACCATGTTGTGTACGTACATTACGAAAACCAGTTTCAATATCAAACGCACGATCAACTAACATTGGAAAACGTATTTCATACGTATCTGGACGCATATAAGTTATATAAGAATCTTTAATAATAAACCATCTTAATACAAAAATAAATAAAATTCTTTTCGATTGTAAATAATTTCAAAATACATACTTTCGACCATGATGAAATTTACAAAAATCACAAAAGAATGGTAAACGAAAAAATATATTATGACCACGATAATCATCATGTGATCGTTTTAATAAATGACCTTCTTTAATACTGCTTGATATACCATACACAAAAGAAACACAACTAACATCAAAAAATTCACGCTAAAACAGACAAGAAAAACAAATCTTATATGTGTTTTATAAGAAATATTACCGTAGCTGGATGATTACGAAATTTTGGGTGTTTAAGAACTCTATTGAGATATTCAAGAAGAATTTGCTACAAAATAAAATTTAAAATACAAAAATCAATAATAAATCTATAAATACATACACAACGTTCTTTAACAATAGCATCATTAATGAATGCCATTCGATCACTTCTTGTTGGAAAACATGGAATTTCATTTTCTTCGTCTTGTACTCTAATTTAAAAGAAAAATTTATTTTAAGAAAATTATTTTCAAATAATTCACAACAATTATTAACAAGCAAAATGACATCTACTTATAAAAAACAACTTACGAGCGTTGCGAAACAAATCTTACAGGTTCATTTCGCCTCGTCGATCTATGTTAGGTAGATTAGTAAAATTAGTATAATCTTATATTATATTAGTTGATTTCTTTTCTTTTATTTTCTCATATATAATTACTTACTTATCTATATCACTAATTGATTGTTTTAATTCAGCTTCAACAAATTGTACTAAAGATTTATGTAATTCATTAAAATGTCGATAACGTTTATAAATAGTCCATTGAAATGGACCATGGATTGTCGTTATACAATATCTATGAGAAAAAACAAACAATCAAGAAATTAATTTATTAAATATAAATATGAATTAATATTTACAAATATGGATTAAGAAATTCAGCAAAACCTGCATAGATACGTTCAGCAACAATTGATGTAACATGAACAGGTACATTTGGAACAAATGTTCGACCACTACGATCAAAAATATGTGCCACAGTAAATTTATCAGCTATAATAAAATAATACAATGAATAATATGAACTATATAATTTAACAAACCTCTTTGAAAGCGTTCGTCAATAGGATCATTAAAATTATTATCCGGATATGGTAAATATTCGTTATGTTTTCGATCAGGATGGCCTGCATTGATTGCTAATTCAGCCATTCCAGCTGTATGTCGAACCAAAGCACTGACACCGCCTGAATCATCGTGGCGTGTCATCTGAAAATAAATCATTAAATTAGTCTTTGTTTGTCATTATATTTATTAATAGCCTATATAAATGATTGATACAAAAAAGAAACAAGGTATATTTGTATGTTTCGTTTCACTGATCAACGAAGGAGAAAATCGTGTAAACGAAATTATTACTAGCGAAAAGGAATATGTAACGGAAATAAAAATGTTTATTGCTACTATGGAGAATAGTAAAAAAACTTAATCGTGATTCATTCTATCGACTTGCTAATAGAAAAGAAAAATAGTTTTGTACAATAAAGAATAGAAATAATTTAATCTATTCGAGTAAATAAATAAGAGAGTATAAAATTAACTGATTAATGAATCATATTAATCTTATCAAGATAAAAGAATTATGACTGTTATTTAAAAATTGAATAAATGATTTTATGTTTTTATTCGATAGTATAATTCAACATTTAAATCTCAAGGATAATAACAAGAAACATAAAAGTCAAATTTTGTTTTACTCGTCTCTTGTTGCAAAATATAGAACAGAACATGTATACATGGTTCTTTCTTTTTTTTTTTTATTTCTTTTATTGTTATCCATCCGATATATGTTGACGAATCAGAGATATTCAATTAGATGTCACTATGAGAGATCTTTTCTAATCGGTTCACAAATCTATCCAATCTTATTTAACTCGATGAGCTTATTAACAGTTAAATAGAGATTTATTTTCATTTATATATCTAAATAAGATATTGAGAATGGTCAAAACAATTGTTTCCAACATAAAGAATGCATTCTTTTCTCTATAACAAACTAAGTCTTAAAAATGAAAGAAATTTCTAAAAAAAAGAAAATGTATAACTTAAAATTCCTATGCATTTTCATAAAGAATAATTATCGTCTAATGCTTTTGGAAATATTTCTTACTTAAAAAAAAAAGAGAACATGTTAACTGAAGTGTTTCATGTTGCTATGAATATATGTAGACAAACGCATTATAATAATTATATTTCAAGTCAATATGATTGGATTCTTGAAGAATAAGAAATATTTTATATATATATATTCTTTTTATGGCATATGGTTGATTTTATTCACGTAGTTATAAATCAGGTACCTGTTAATCAAAATAAAAAATGTATCTTCTTTTGTTGTGTATAACAATATTGAGTATATGCAACTGTTGTTATTCTTATTTATTTTTTATCATGTAGTTTTTTCCTTTGAGATCGATTCTGCTTACTTTTGTATGATTTTTATTCACATATGATCAGATTAAGGAGAAAAATATTTTCTATATAAACTTATTATAATATATTAATCACCTAAATTTTCAATACTATTTCAAAAAACAAAAGTGACATTTCATACGTTTTATTTTTCTTAAGCTTTTAGTTAAGTACATGACTTATTATAGACTTATAGACAAATACTACTTGAATCAATTATAGTTTAATAAAAAATCAATTTCAAGTAGATCATTAACTTTTATGTGTCAAGTTGAACTTACAAATAACAATAATATATCGAACAAAACCGACCTATATACTATATGATAGAGAGTATATTCGATTCATATATGAATAAAAATAAGATTGATACGAGACATTGAACAAAATGACAATCGATACGGTCAGTATTACTTTTAATATATACAAGTTCATATTAAAGAAGAAAAAAAAAGAGAATAACGAGAATAAAAACATTTTGTATGATGAATATGCAAAACTAACTCTTTTGTATGCATGTAGGAATAAAGTATCATTATTAATATGAGATTAAGTAGACAGATTCATTGTTCATTTATTATAGTATAGACTACACTATTTTCAATAATATTCCTTATCTTCAGTATGATCGTTTCTATTTTAAATGAAATATTAAGGCAATTACAAAATAATATATTTTTCTCTTCGTATGTTATTCAGGATGTTTAATTTATTTCAAGGTAAAGTAGCTAAATGTCGAAAGGTAGGACGACGAAAACCATAATATCATATATATACTCATCGGTTGCATTAATCAGTATCAAAGCAAAGATAGGATGAGTATGGATGCTCTTCGCATTTAACACCCGCAATCACCCTAAGAAATTTTACTTAAATAAGTTTTAGCTAATTATACGTTCTCTGACATTAGATTCAAAATTAGGAATCACAAACATCATCTTTACGTAGTTTGCTTTGATCATTGGTATCAGTATGAAGAACCGCGAAGTAGAAACGGCTTTAACAGCGTCCATATTTGACCTTTGGACATGTTTAGTTAATATACAAATCTATCAGAAATAACTACGCGTTTGCCTTTATTAGTTTCTGAAAATGTTATGATAGGTGTATCACTTATAGAGATGTAAAGAAAGTTTGTAGAAATGGACACAAACTACCCTATATACGCAATTCAATAATTAAGGATTATCATTAAATCCTCTTAGCGAAATAATCTAATTAGTGCAGAGATATACGCTTATTAGTAAATGTCCACAATGTATCATGAGTTGATAGAAATTGGTTTGACGACATTATTGACATTCCTTCTTTCAATATTTTTTTTTCCACATTTTCTTTTCAACAATCTGTTATTCGGCATTTCGTCTTTCGACCTTTTTTACAATACCATTTAATCATCTTTATTTTTGTATCTTCTATTATTGGATGTTATTTATTATTCTTTCAAATTATCAGTTATTTTTTCTTTTTTTTCTTCTTCTCCTTTGAGAATACGAAGATAATACTTTGATACATATATATCAACATAATCTATTGTAAAAAAAAATGGAGTGATAACTATTATGTAGTGGATCTCTCTTCAGCAATCAACTGTTGTCAAAAAGAGTTCTATCTTATATAATTAGATTAGTTATATCATTATTTTTCCATTGATAACATTTTGTCTATATTTTTCAAGATCTTGTTGTCTCTCGTCTTATTATTGAGATGATAGATGTTTGTGTGGTGATGAGTGATGATAACGCTTTTGTATAATCTTAAGATTCTTTTCATCTGTGCTTTATATGAAATAGAGTCAATCATATAAATTATCTTTGTCTTTTTTTGCGGTATATATCTATATAAAGATGTATATAAAGAATATAATAGGAAAGGGAATACAAAAGAAGAAGAAGAAGAAGAAGAAAAAAGAAACAGTAGATATTAGTGCAACAAGAATAACCACAATGATGATGACAATCTTTCTCCTTGGTATCTTTCCTTGTCTTGTATTACTAACTCTACTCTGCATCCATTATCATAAATACTAATCAATTATTAGTATTTTTATATTTATTCTTTAGACTATAGACGATCTTATATAGCTCAAGAATTTGTATATGTGTATGTGTTCAATAACAATAAACATATGAATTAATAATACCCATGACATATTGAATGATCTTCAATCAACAACAACGACTAGTATGTCGTTAAATAATGTATTATTTATGATTTATTGTAATCATGAAATTATTATTGATATTAATATGTATATATTTCATACCTTTCAAGAAATGGTATATTCAATGTCAAGAAGATCCATTAACTATATCATCAACAACTGTTGAAACACAATATCTTCATTTTAATATGACTCATTATGGAGTAGATGGTGGTGTTTTTTCAAGTATGTAACTAACATTTTATTTATTTCCTCTCTCTTCAAAAAAATTCTTTCTTCTTTCAAAGGTCCTAATTTTCCGCATAATTATCCTCAAGATACAATTTTATTTTATCAATTTACAGCATCAATTGATTATCGTGTTGTTGTTGAAATCGATTCTTTTCAAATACGTGGTGTTTCACCTCAATGTACACATGATTATTTAGATGTTTTCATAAATCTTACTGATTTTAATTTTATTCATGATCAATTACTTCATCGTTATTGTGGTCGGAATAAACCACCATTATTAATATCATACACAAATTTACTTTTACTTGGCTTTTTTACTGAAGATACACAAACAGAACGAGGTTTTAATGGTTCATTTCATTTTATATCCGAACAACGATATAAAAATCATCTTATACAAGAACCATGTAATTATATTTTTAATTCATCGATATCAAAACGTGGAGAATTTTCTTCTTCAACATATCCCGGAACTTATTTACCAGTAAATATATATATAAGATATGGGTAGAAAATAATTATATTATTTCGTTTTTTTAGTGGCAATTTTGTAATTATTCATTTATTGGTTTACCTGGTGAACGTATTCATATTCGTTTTCGTGACTTAATGTTATTTAAAACATTAAATACTCAACATTGTGCTATTGATTTAATTCGTTTATATGATAATATATTTCATTCAAATGAACTTCAACAAAAAAATTTTACTAATAAAAATATTTTCTCAGAAGAAATTAATGAACATCATATAACAGATCTTTGTGGTACATATACAATGCCACTTGATATTTATTCAACAAGTAATTATTTATTGTTCTATTTTATTACGACACATTATGCAGAGTTGACTGATGATGAACAAGCACGATTAAATGATGCATCAAGTCCATTATTATGGCGAAAAGGTTTTTATGCTGAATATGAATTTTTATCAACATTAACTAAACTTGATTTTATATCGAAAACAAAATCAAATCAATATTTATCAGGTACGGAATGTGATCAAACAATAAAATCATTTGGACAAGGTTATGGTCAAATTCAATCACCTAATTGGCCGAATTTATATAAACCACAAACATCATGTACAACATATTTCTTAGGTATTGATGATCGTTATGCATTAGAAAATGTTGAATTTGAATTTGAACAATTTGATATTGATTGTCAAATAGCATCTTTTGTTATTTATAATGCAAGTAGAATATATGATTATAATTTTAATTTACGATCATCATCTGTATTAACAAATACAATGTCAATAATAAAAGAAAAATCCCTAGCATTTAATAATTATTATCAACAAGATGTTGATTTTAAAGATAATCTTACATTTTGTGGTCATTTTAAACCTGAAGGACGTTTTGTTTCACAAAATGCATTACTGAAAGTATCATTCGTTCCTAATAATCGTTTAACAAATCGTATTTCACCATCATTATTAACTGGTGGGAAATATCAAGCAAAATATAAATTTATTAAAAGTTATCATCAAATAGCTGATGATAAATTTCATGGAACAAGTTCGAATGATTGTAATCTTGTATATTATCAATCACGTCGACAAAGTGGTAAGATAGACATTTTCCCAGAAAAAAAATTATTTTTAATATTTAGGAAAATTTGAACCACCACGTTCATCACAAAATGATTATTTTTCTAATTCAAATTGTACATTTCATTTTTATATTTCAAATCCAAATTTTCGTCTTCTTATATGGTATGATTATTTTATTATTGCCGATGATGATTATACACATTGTCCATCCGATAATTTAACTTATTCATATCGTTCATATAAATCTTCATCATATTCATTATATCCATATATTTATTGTGGTTATCAAAATTTCCCTCCGCCATATTTAACAAGTTCTTCAACTGAACAATTTCGTATACATTTTCGTTCAAATAATGATTCGAATACAAGTTTAGGTTTTAATGGACGTTATGAATTTATCAATCAATCACATCATTTATTTTCATCAAAATGTCGAAATCCATTTGATCCTATTATTGATATAGATGAAAATGAACAAACATATGGTAATATATCAAGTAATGGTTATCCAGAAAATATTATCTGTGAATGGTCATATCGAACAACATATGGATTTCAATTTAATTTACAAATAACTATTCTCGATATGGAAGGTTCAAAAATACAAGATCCACCATTAGGATGTCAATCATCAGTTTTAAAAATTTATAGTCATGAACGAATGGATGAATTATGTGGTAAACAAGAAAATATAACGTATATTCTTACAAATTCAAATTGGTTTACTATACAATTTATTTCTTTAAATCGTCAAACAAAAGAATATTTACAAGGTTTTTATTTAACATGGACAATTGTTCAATTGAAAATAAATAATCAATGTTTATTATCTTCAAATAATTATTTTGATTGTCAAAAATCATCAACTATAAATGAAACATCATTTTGTATTCATCGATCATTAATATGTGATGGATTTATACATTGTCAACCGTTATCAAATCATGATGAATTTTTATCAAATTGTTCTCAAAATTCATCATCAAATTCATATTTTATATCATTTCCATTTTTACGACAACATTATATATTAATTTCAATTATTTTTCTACTTTCATTTATTATATTATTTATTAGTATTATATTCATTTTATTAATAATTAAAACAAAACAAGATTGTATAGCAAAACAAAAGAAAAATAAATCGACGAATATTGATTTATGTGATGTGGGTGGTGATGATGATAATGAAGATTTTAGTGATATAAGATTGATAAAACAAACTGTTACAACAGTTTAAATATACGAATTAAAATAAGTTCTCTATAAAAATGTGTATGTGTGTGTGTGTTATTCCGTCCGATTTCTCGTTTCTTCTTTTGTCATTGTATGTTATATAAGAGTAAAATAGATAAATAAACATGTGCAGGTTAATTGTGTTAGTTTATGAATGACTAGATTGATATAATTGATTAGTTATGCGTGAAATATCATGTGTTGCTATATTATTTATTTATCTATTACGAATAGACCTATATCTTTTCCTTTTTCTTTTTGTAAAGGTTACACAATTTAGATTATAATAGCTATTGAAAGAGAGTATGTTGCATTACGAAAAGAAGAATAACATACGATCCAATTAATATCGATACAATTTCTATGTGTATGTCGAAATAAAAATATAGATATTCCTTTCTTACATATCAATCAATTTCATTTATTTTACATTATATTAAAATCTTTAATATATTGCTTAGAAATTTTTCTCTATTCAAAAAGGTGTAATAACTCGAACGGATCAAGTATTTGACAAGATTAAAATTTCATTAATTCTAGTACTACAAATATGAATCAATCTTGAGCCCTACATATCATTTCTACATTATTGATCTATATTGTAAAATCTAAAAATATATCTTCATGTCTTTTTGTTTATATCATTAGAAGTCTTTAGCACACTATCGTGTAATCAGCATAGAAGAAAAATTTATTTTCAATCTATACGCCAATAGTTTATTTACTATCTCAATTGAATATTATCGATTCATTAAAAAACATTTTTTTTCCTATGATTTCGAGCAATTCAGTTAGAATAGTAGATGATTCATTTAATTATAAATTAGAGATATGAGTTTTCTCTCTTTCTTATTGCATATTCATTGGATAATAATGTCATGATATGATATCATAAGCTTGTAAAATCATGTAAATGGAAATCAAGTTTTTCTATAGTTAACTCTATATAGCAATTTATATTTCCGCTGAAAGTAAGATGAATGTTATTGAGCAAGAATGTGGTTTGGAACTAGAAGGTAGCAATGAAATTGATTCAGCAGATAATAAATCGTTCACACACTCCCGTGATCTTCCATTTCGTATCCTTTAACAAAAAAAATCCTTCCAATGATATTAATAGGATTATGAATCTTGATGTTCATTTATCTCTAAACAACATTGATTCACATTCCAGAGAGCATACTTTATTAGGACATTAATAGACAAGTGAAAAAATCATTCTAAAAAAATACATGTTATAAGCATAGTGATTATATAATATTTTAAATACAAAATGTAGTTCATATGACTAAGTTTCTTCAAGAAACTTTAACATTAATAAACTTTTATCGCTATCTTGATTAATCCCAATTTTTTTTATTCACTATATTTATTAAGATCATATAAAGAACAGTCTTTCTCAATTATTTCTTAGGTTATATCTAGTCGATAAGATTTAAATCTTGAAATCAAGCAATATTTTAATTCTGTATGATTTTGATATCTAGTCTCAATATATCCAAATTAATAATTGAACATAGTACAAGGATAATAAAAACAGAGTATAAAATATTTTATTGAATCAAGTCTATATATGTTATATTGCAAATGTTCAAAAACTGATATAAACTACTGTAGAAATTAAAGAGAAAATTTGAATCAAAATTCTATATAAGAGAAATACATTTTTTAGTACATTTACACAACGAAAAGAATAGATATGAAAGTATACAAATACAAATTTGATTAACGAGACGAATTCGAAAAAAAAATTTAACAAGATTTCGTTAGATATGAGATTATTATGAAGTTTTATATCCATCTGATTTGTTGGCAGTAAGATCTTATTTTATTTCTCTATAGTTGTTATTTTTGTTTGTGGAACAAGCTACTGTATATATGTAAGTTTAACATATCCGTGATATTCTTTGTGTCACTTTTTCTCTACTAGTTGTTATTTGCATCACTCATCCATAAAGCCTGAAAATATCAGAAATAAAATTATACTAATGATATAAGTATATAACTATGCTTTTTTTCGTGATAAAATATGTATTTGACATTAGAAACTATAATGACAAATATTGTTATTCAGGTCTATAAACACGAACAATGGACGACAAATTTGTGATATTAGCTCATTTATTGTCCAACCTAACAATCTCGCAAAACGAAAGTTAACGAACCAGATCAAGGTCACCATGATTAACATCATGGCTATTAAAAATATTTTATACATTTCGTACGTGTAATATTAATTTCTACAATTAATCTTCAATTTTCTTATTTTAAAGTTTATGAAAAAGGAAAAAATGAAAGAATAAAATGTCTTTAGGTTTCGGTTTTTGATATCGATTGTTTACATACAACTAGTAATAAGAAAAAACATTTCATATACGATTTTTCAAATTTGTACATGCCTTCTTCATCAAAAGAGCGATTGTGAGTCGCTTTGCTCGTTCTGTCGGTAGATTCAATTACCTATACATACGATACACTAAAACAACATCATCATATACGTAAAACACAGCGATCTATCGTTTGATTGACTGACTCTTCATTTTTTTACTATTTACTAACGTCTATCTCTCACATTAGGCTGAAAATTCAACAAATCACAACCACGCAATATTGCAAGTAAAAAATAAGAAACAATCATTCATGCATAAATAACACTTATTCTCTGTTTCATTACTAGCTGTCATGACACATACGTTGGTAGCTGATAGTCATAGTTCAGATGCTCAGTCACCTTCAAATTCACAAGTATTCAAACAGCTACAACTTAACTATTTAATTGGTTACGCACTTGCCGCAGGTAACTATACTTTATTGTATTCATCATTATCATCTTTTCAATATGAATTGTACAGCTGGTAACAATTTACAAAGTTCCTATCGATATGCTATTTTCGATTCATATGGTCTTAGACGAACAACAATTGAACGAATTTTTCTTTGTGCTCATATTTCAACTTTAACGCTTGGTACACTTATTTCATCACTTGCTGATAAATAGTAAGTACAGTAAAACCTCCCAAAATGAACACCTCTCTATAATGAACACCTCTGGTTTGAACACATTTTTTGGTCCCCCCGATCGATTTTTGCTGTAAATAGACCTCCGCAAGATGAACACCTCCGACCTCTGAACAATGAACGCTTTTTTTAGTCTCTTCTGTAAAAGGAAACCTCTATATAATGAACATATAGTGATTAACTGTACGTTTTTCTATGAAATACAGAGCTGAAAAAATATGCTGTTCATATTAAGGAAATGATAAATCAGTTTTTAACGGTCAACTCATCATAACAAGCTCTGTCGTATGTATGCATCAAACAAAACAATGCGATTAATCGGCGATGAGTTAATCGATTCTATATGATAGGACAACATGCATTCTATCTTCGATTGTAAAATGAAACAGAACACACACGTTAACTTTGTCTATAAAAATGCAGTTAATTAGTGTAAATGAAAATAACGCTTCATATCGTACAATTACTGCGAAGTACAAAATCTCGATCGGTAGTATCTCAATTACCGACTATTCTTAGAAAATATAAATAGATGTGAATAATAGATAAAAATGCTTTCTTTTACTAGTTTTTGTTTAAAACAAAATAGATCTTTAATATTTTAAAGATAAAAAAAATGTTTTTTTTTTATTTTTCACTTGATAATTGAATAAATATGTGAAATAATTGAAAAAGATGGTGTTTTGGAATTAATAGTAATAGATTTTAATATCAAGATGCATAGCTATCATTTGTCTATACTGATATTATATGGTGTATATCTAAACCTTTATTTAGTATGAAACCTCTGTAAGATGAACACCTCCTCTAATGAACACTTTTCAAGCGGTCCCATTAGTGTTCATCTTACGGAGGTTTTACTGTATATTGTTTCAGAATATATTATCAAAATAGAAAAGAATAATTGTATTATTATCTATATTTAGTGGTCGTCGAACAGCATGTATTTTATCCGCCATATTCTATACTATTAGTTGTCTCTCACTTGTGAGTAAATTTTATAAAACATCCTAGTATTATTTTATAATGTAATGTATATCTTAAAAGAATATCAATATATTATGGATTTTTTTCATCGGAAGTGCAGCTCGTGGTATAGCTCATTCATT